GATTTTATTTATTTTTTTGTGGCACAGCATGTGGGATCTTAGTTCCCTGACCCGGGATCGAACCTGAGCCCTCTGCCTTGGAAGGCAGAGTCTTAACCACTGGACCGCCAGGGAAGTGCCCCCAAGTCACATCTTAAAGCTTTCAGATTTTCATGTCTACCCCGTGTTTAAGGCGTTTCTGCTGAACTGGACTTGGAAAGAATATTTCATTTCTGAGAGGGCTGGGAGGAGCCCTTTAAAAGCAGCACGTACTCTGCCTCTGAGTTCTCTCTTCTTATCTGTGCTTCTGTGGCAGTACAGTCCATACTTTCCAGGCCAACACGTGGAATGTCTCAGTCTGAGAAGTATTAATAGATCCGCAAGTGAAACAGGCTTGCACAAGTGCTTAGATAGAGCCCTCATATGTGAATTAAAATGAGAGGTGAAAGACCTTAGCAGCACATCTGTAAACATTGAGGCTAATGTTTTGGGGTATAATTTTGAAAGAGTCCTTTGACGCCACTGGCAGGAATGAATGGAAGGACTGAATGCTTTATTGATTTAACTCAGTGTGGTATTCTTTCAAAAATGTCTTTTCATAATCGTAGGGAGAGGAGGGAACATGGAAAAGTCACTTATTTTCTCGAGTTTGTATAGAAAATATCCTGATGCTGGGAAAGACTGAAGGCAAAGAAGGGGATGGCAGAGGATGAGATGATTAGATAGCATCACTGATTCAATGGACATGAATTTGAGCAAACTCTGAGAGATACTGAAGGACAGAGGATCCTGGCATGCTACAGTTCTTGGGGTTGCAAAGAGTTGGACATGACTTAGTGACTGAACAAAAACAAATTCAAGACAGATGAAACCTCTAGGGATAGGTTCTTAGTGACTTCGAGTTTTCAGGTGTGATGTTTAATAGCACCAGTTACCAGGAAGCCTTTGTTACTTCACCCAGAGAAACCTGCATTCAATCCACAAATTAATATTCTCTGGAGATTCAAAACAAAAAGCTTTGAAAATAGAAATATTACTCTTATTCAACAAGCACAATTATGTTCACTAATTCTTAGAGAGAAAGCAAAATCTTCACCTAAAACCATTCATTGGACCTCAGCAGTCAGATGGACTATTTCCAGGTCTTTGAATATAAAAATTATTTAAAAGTTTTCCTTGTGGGCTTGAGTTTTCAAAGAGGATCCCTTTGGAAAGTTGGCAAATACTTACTTTCCTGGCACAAAGATTGGTTTTTTCTTTTCCCCCTCCACCCAAAGCTATGACAGGGTGGAGTGGAGTATACTTCCATGAAATTGCATGTTTCCAAAATAAGATTCACTGTTACATTTGACTTCTGTTAGAATTGAATCTCTAATCAAAAATAAGCAAAAACCAAACACTCTAGAAATAGAATTTCAGCTCATATTCTCTAATTTGGTCTTCATATAGGATAGAATTATTATATTTTATAAAAGTGCCTTTTGAGCAGAAATGTAGCAAACAGTCAATTAACAAAGTGGTTCAGATTCCATCCCCGTGCCTGTGATCTCATGTAGTAATATCCACAATCTCAAATGGCTGTTGTACCATATCATTAACGCTATTCAGATTCTCTTGTAGTCTGGATGGCTTCCAGGAAAGAGCACTGCATTCTTCTGCTCCTTGGTTTCATTTCCCAGTGTTAGACTACGTTTAACCTAAAGGACCAGGAAAAATCCTGGTGTTCCTGTGTTTCCCTCCTAACTTCCTTCGAGGAGATGAACTAATAGTGTGTATCATTAGATTATGGTTTTAGGCATGAATCTGTTGTTTAAGTAAGGGCTGTAAAACCCTGAGCTTCGCTTGTGTTGGTACTTAATAAGGGTGCATGCTCCTTGAAGCAAAGGCGCTAGTGTAGAGCATTTTTGCTGGGGCTCTTGGTTTGCTGAATGAAACCATGGAACCTATGATCCTTGGCACTTGCCATGTGCAGGCTGGCTGTCTGTCCCCTGGGAACAGGAGGCGTGCAGGCAGACAGGAGGCGTGTGCATCCTGGAAATGTATGGGTCCGCCCTTTGTGATGGTCCCTCTTCTTGGATAAAACATCTGAAAAATATGCCTGAGCTTGGGGACTTGACCTGAGTGAACAGGGAGGAAAAATGAAAGCTGGAAGGTAACATGTAACATATTTTAACTCTGCAGCAATTCAGGTTTCTGTAGTCTTTAATACTTTGATCCGCTCTCATGCTGTTTCTTTTAATTCGTGTACCGTTATTGCTTCAAAATATTTTCATTTACTCCAGTTCTCTCCTGTGAAGGATGACCAGGCAGGTTGTGGCTTCCCCTTTTCCCGCCATCGTATGTTATTCCCAGAAACTCCGTCAACAAAGAACCACACACACACGCGTAAGGGCGGTGTCTTCAACTTTACAGGGTTTTAAAAAGTATCCTATCTAGTATTTGCTCCAAACAGTGCACATGCAGAAGCAGTAGACCACCACCTTATTACTAGGAAGAGTTTCAATCACAAGTTTTTAGATATAACCTCTGTTCCTGTTTGTTGAGATTTAGACTCCACGATGCCTTTAACCAGCTAAGAATACAGTGAGTAGGTGAGGGCAAGGCAGTGTCCTCTGGACTCAGAGTGGTGAATGGACACAAAGATTTTTTTCTCCACATACCAGGGACTTGTCTCTGAAAATCAGCAAAGATACTTGTTATGTACATTAATTGATTTCGGTCAGTTCAGTTCAGTTGGTCATTCATGTCCGACTCTCTGCGTCCCCATGGACTGCAGCACACCAGGCCTCCCTGTCCATCACCAACTCCCAGACTCAAACTCATTTCCATTGAGTTGGTGATGCTATCCAACCATCTCATCCTCTGTAGTCCCCTTCTCCTCCAGCCTTCAATCTTTCCCAGCATCAAGGTCTTTTCAAATGAGTCAGTTCTTCTCATCAGGTGGCCAAAGTATTGGAGCTTCAGCTTCAGCATCAGTCCTTCCAGTGAATATTCAGGACTGATTTCCTTTAGGANACTACTCAAAAGCACGTTGTTATACATAAAAAATTAAAATCTGGAACTCTCATCCCTTGTGACAAACAAGAAATGGTCCCAAGCCACTACACATAATATCAAAATTTTTTCTTTTAAAAAAAAATTGTATTTCCCATGCAATTTTAAGGACTATATTTTCCCTCGGGGATAAGAGAAATGTGATTTCATGAGAATTACTAAATGTTGGAAAGAGTCCAAAAGATCTAAAATAATAAAAAGTGGATATAAACTGACAAATTTCTATTGACTTAACTACAGGTTAAGAGTTTACTTTGCTGGCTTTCAGGAAAAAGCACTAACAAGTTATATTAGAATGATAAATATATATATATACACATAAAAATTCAAGAAGAAACTAACAAGTTCTCAGAAAAAAACTACACAGTATGGTATTTTGAGTTTGCTTGTTTTTTTTTTTTAGCCTTTTAAGTAGATAAGTCAATTTTGGGCTTTAAATATATAATTTTCTGAGAATACTACAGAAGAATATTAGAAATGAAAAAGAAACAGCTGCACCACTACAATCAGACAGTGCAAAAATGGTAAACTATAAAATTAAGGCTTTCTGTTCAACCAAGATGGTAATAATGGGCACTAGCCTATCTGAGGCAAAAGGTGAAGAAGCAGAAGACAGAAGAGAAAGATACACTTTTGAAAGTGGGTTTCCCTGATAGCTCAGTTGGTAAAGAATCTGCCTGCAATGCAAGAGACCCCGGTTTGATTCCTGGGTCGGGATGATCTGCTGGAGAAGGGATAAGCTGTCCACTTCAGTATTCCTGGGCTTCCCTTGTGGCTCAGCTGGTAAAGAATCTGCCTGGATTGTAGGAGGCCTGGGTTTGATCCCTGGGTTGGGGAGATCCCCTGGAGAAGGGAATGGCTACCCACTCCAGTATTCTTGCCTGGAGAACCCCATGGACAGAGAGGCCTGGTGGGCTATAGTGCATGGGTCACACAGAGTCAGACATGACTGAGTGACTAACACTTCTACTGACATGTAATGATGTCCATGATATCAAGGTAGAGACAGCAATCATTAGCTCTCACAACTGATTGCCTCTCTCCAAGAGAGCAGGGCTTTGGGTCACTCCTAAGTTCCCTTGATTGACATGCTGAAGTTCTGAAGACATTACAGATTTGTGGTTACCAGGAGCAAAGAGGTTGTGAGCATTTGCCAAGAATTAATGCCTAAAAAGTGTGACTCTTCTAGAGGTAGTTTGTCTTAAGAGTATATTCAAAGGAAGTGGAGTCCTGGGATGTAAAGGTTTGGCGTGAGGAGATTTCTAAACGCTTAGGTAATTCTAATTATGATTTTATTGGCAAGGAAACAATAGCGCTTTATTAGCTTCTGAGAACAGTGGTCTGGTCTCAGGTTGCTGTTGTATATGGGCACATTCTGTCTGTCTGCACTTTGCTGCTTTGAGGATGTACTTTGGGTTGGAAGGCTCAGTATCACATTCGATTAGATTTTTATGAGTCACAGATGTGGAGGGTGAGCCTGCCTCTGAAAAGCTTTATCCTGTCCATTAGCAGAATTCTAAATGATTTGGCCTGTTTGTCTTCTACCCTCTATCACCTTGGGATTTAAAAAAACAGTGTGCTTCCATAGTTTTTTTTTTCAGGAATGCACACAGTTGCGTGGCTTTGGCAGCTACGTGCTGTGGGTGTCCAGGTGTGCAAGAGTGCTCCCATTCTCATCTCTTGTTATGAAGGGCTGGTCCTTATCAGTAGTTCATCCTGCCGGCCTGCCATGAGATGATGTGATGAGAGCACTTTTGAACTCAGAGCGAAGGGGATGTGGCACCTGCCACATCAAACAAAGACAAACAGGCAGAGGTCACTTTCCATCTTGTATAGACCTGACCTTTATCCACATCACCTGTGTATCCTGCTGTGTACCCAAGGGGTCAGATCTAGAGGCATTCATGGCGTGGGAATATATTCCAAGTATGTGTTTTTAAGGTTATTTCTTCTGTTTCCATGAATAGATATCAGTATTACCTGCAAGTCAAAAAAGACGTGCTGGAAGGGCGGTTGCGGTGTTCACTGGAACAGGTGATCCGGCTGGCAGGCTTAGCTGTGCAAGGTAAGAGTGGGGACTGGTGTGTGACAATCCATCTTGCCTTGAATGCTGGCACCACTAGCCTCTAGGAGGGAAAAGTTAAGTTTACTTAAATGATCCCTTCATGACTGTTTTTACATTTTGAGGTGTCTTACATTAAAAGTGCGGAGGCAGTGACTTTTGGTGGCAGGATGGTGGATTCCTCAGAGCTGTTCGCAAATTGCTCAAGCTTGTATAATTTTAGTTTTATTTGAAGAAATAGCAGCTTTCATCCTGCCTCTAATTAAAGCTCCATTGCAGGGCTTGTAGACCATTTTCTTAGAATTTTTCCACTGCCCAATGTGGTCATATTTTGTGGTTTGATGTTATGACTGTGTGACTTTCACATCAGTTTCAAGTGTGAGAGCTTAAGACATTATACTATACTTTATTCCGACAGTTAAAGAGAGAAATTTAAAATGCAGTGTTGTAATGTGAGACAGTTAATGTGTATTAGGGTCAATTTATCTTTCAACCTACCCTACTTACATCGATCCAGATCCATCAGACAGCTGGTTTTTTTTTTTCAATCTTCTGTAAATTTTTGCCCCTATTTGTGTAGCACACTGTGTAATCTTGTACATATATTTATACATTGTTCTTTATTGACTGGTAGCTTCATCGTCTTGAGTCACGTTAAAAACAAGAAGATAAAAGACAAGTTTCTTTTTAAGAAGAAACGTGTTTCCCTTGCAGTAGCGACTTTGCTTAAAATCAGATACCATCCAAATGTTCCCTGCCAGCTGCGGAGTCCTTGCTGTGTGGATTGTTGTTTTAGAAGCTGTGAACTGAACTTCTCATCCCAAACTCTGCACTGAAGTCAAACCTTTTGGATTTAAAACGCTTAAAGTGGCAGCCTTTCCTTGATAACTTTCACTCCTGGGATATTAATGGGTTAGTAGTTTTGGTTGGCCATATGATACTTAGTAGTTAGCTTCTCCCTGTGGATTGGAAGTCTGCAAAATGCGCTGTTCTCATCTGTTCACCTAAAGAATGGAAGGGGAAGGAGCAATGCCCAGACTGTATAACAGAACCATCCGTGGTTATAATTGAAAAATAATTCAAACAGTGGAGAAGATACCCTTAATGGGGAGATGCAAGGAAAGATCTGGTGGGTCCCTCATCTTCCAATTGGGTCTTTTTCCTTTAAATGCTTCCTTTTCTTCTTCTTCTTCTTCTTTTTTTTTTAACTCTCTTTTTTCCCCTCTCACTCTTCAATCATTGGGCTCATTACAAGCATCCTGGATATTGGAGGACCTCGGTGATCGCTTTCAGGCTGAAGGAAGTTGGTGAACTTACTCTGGGGTCCCTTTTACTTGGATCCTTGAAGTTTGCTATTCAATCTGATGAAATCCTCTAGCTGTAATATGTGTAGAATAATTTTTCTGAGAACTTTCATTGGGCAGTTAGAAAGGCACATCAACAGAGATATAAGCTGTGACAAAGTATGATAACAGATCACCGACCTTGGAAATAGGCAGAGCTCTTGGTCTTTGGTATTTCCAAGTGCCTCACCTTGTAATTACTTGTAGGAATTTACACATATTTGTAGGTGCAACCTTGCCTTCTTGGTAACGTATTTACACTGGCTTTCTGTGTGGATCTGCTTATTCTTGTTACCTTAAAGATGTCTGGATCCATTTCTACCTGATAGTGAACATTTTACATGAAATTTAAATATCATACTGTTTTGATTTTTTTGTTGTTGTTGAGAGCAAGTTGGATAAGCTGCAAGACACTTATCGATTTATGATAGAGGTTCTCTGTATTCATTTTACGTGTGTTCAGACTTACAATTGTGAGATGAAAACAGGACAAAACAGAATTTGGGCCATCTTGTAACACATGGAGTTGTTTAGGAGGTGTAAAAATTTGCAGCATTGCTTGCCAAGGGTGATTTACAGTGGGAATTTCCAGCTGCAGATATATGAAGAGATGCAGATGGGTTTGGCGCTTCAGTTCTCAAAATTAACCTTGTGTTAAAAAGTCCCTTTGGCAGATAGTCTTAAGATCTGTGTTGGTGCATATTTCATAAAAGATAAATATAGGTTTGTTTTAAATTCTTAAAATAGATTAGGAATCACTTTCAAATGTTTCTGTTCTTTCTGGAAAATTATGTTGCAGTGCTTGCATGCTGATATTTACATTATTACTATGTAAAAGTGTTAGTAATGGCAAACCCATCTTGGCACTGTTTGTATTTAATAATAGTGCAGAAGTAGGATGAAGTGAGAAGAGTCAATGTGGTAATAAATTTACCCTATTTTATCCCATCTTTAATGTCATATAATAAAGACTACCCTCCCTCCTTGTCTTTTCAGCTGATTTTGGAGATTATAATCAGTTTGATTCTCAAGATTTCCTCAGAGAATATGTACTATTTCCTATGGTAAGTATATCTTCCTTTTTCTTAATTCATGTTCTATCTTCTTTGGATATTTAATTCTTCCCTTCGAAGATCTCAGAGGAATTTACACATGTATTTCCTGGGAAGAATGCCCCTGCATTTATGGAGATAAGTTTTCTAAGACCCTGGGAAAAGTAAAGATGGCTCTTCTTGCCTCCTCAGAACACTTCCATGCCTCACACACTAGCCTTGAGTCCTGGGCACTCTCTTCCTTGTTTCTTTTTTTTAATATTTGTATGTTTATTTGGCTGCACCAGGTCTTAGTTGCGGCATGTGAGCTCTGGTTGCAGCGTGTGGGATCTAGTTTCCTGACCAGGAGTTGAACTCGGGCCCCCTGCATTGGGAGCTCAGAGTCTTAGCCACTGGAGCTCCAGGAAAGTCCCTCTCTTTCCTTCTGTGCCTCTCAGAAGGCACTCCAGAGCCTTTGTCCTGCCCGTCCTCTGTCTGGAATGCTCGGCCCCGGGTCTTCCTCTGACTGCTCGTTCAGGTCTTGATTCAGATACCACCTCCTCACAGAAAGCTTCCTTGTCCTTGACCATCTGTAGGATGCACTCCAACCATCCAGCACTAACTGCTAAATCCCCTTTCATATGCATACTTTAGAGCTCTTTTGGGATCTAAAGGTGTTCCTTCTTTCCCTCCTTTTTATTGTCAGCTGAAATGCCTTCTCCTTGGTGCTTGAGCAGGGAGCTTCTCTGTCTTGTCCATGGTTGTCTGGTAGATAATTTTGTGCTCACGTGGGTTTGTTGAATGAGTCTATGAAGTAAAATGTCCACTCTTGAGTTAAATTAGGGATGAAGCTAGGTTTTTATTCTTGGGAAATGTTTGGTAGCTTTGGAGTAACTGAGAAGAGCTTTTGTCAGGAAAGTTAAAATATTTGAAAAGCCGTCTTAGGGAAAAGCCATGCCCACTCCAACATTCAGCTCTGATTTTATAAATCATGATCATTCACCACTTTGTGTGTGTGTGTGAGTGTGTGTGTGTGCTCAGAGAACTGACCTGGGTTTCCAAAATCTGAATGCAAAGCCACGTATGATAAAATACGATCAGGATTTTATGTGGGGAGAGGTTACCTGTGTTTTGGGCTTGAGGGACTAATGGTGTGTGAGCTGCATCTTAAAAGATGGGCAGCATTGTGGCAGGTGGTGGTCAGGGGGAGCAAGGGATGCTCTAGACAGAGGGAGGAGGAGCAGGGGTGAGGTGGCAGGCGTGACTGGATAGGAGTCAGCTGGCCATCCTGATGGCTGCTCAGGGGTACAGAGGGGAGCAGTGGTACAGAAACATAGTGCGTCTGAGGAGTTCGAATGGGTGGACTCCATCCAGCGGTTCACAGACCCCATGCTTGAGAACGGCTGGGTTAGACCAATGAGACTGTTTGCAGGAGGATGTCAGATGAGAGTGTTCTCAGCATGACATAGGAATTATTTGTTGGTCCGTGTAGCTCAGATGGTACAGAATCTGCCTGCAATGCAGGAGACCTGGGTTCAGTTCCCAGGATGGGAAGATCCCCTGGAGAAGGGAATGGCTACCCACTCCGGTGTTCTTGCCTGGAGAATCCCATGGACAGAGGAGCCTGGTACAGTCCACGGGGTTGCAAAAGGCTGGACACGACTGAGCAACTATCACTACTGCACTATAGGATAGAAACAAAAAAAGCAACACAAGATATTTTGGAAGTGCAATGGGGAGAGCTTGGCATCTAACCTACTGTGGTCTCAGAGAGAGAGTTGAGTGTCTGGAGACAAAGGTATTAAGTTTTGAGAGGCTAGAAATTATCTGTGTCAGGGCATGAGAGGAATCTAAATTAGTCCTAAGTTAATTTTTTTTAAATTTTTATAGAATTCTTAAAGGTTAGTTTCAGTTTATAATTATTACAAAATCTTGGCTGTGTTCCCCATATTGTTCAGTACATTCTTGGCCTCTCTGGTGTCCAGTCATATGTACCTCCCACTCCTTCACCGCCGTGTTGTTCCTCTCCCCTCCCTCGACTGGTCACCACTGGTTTGTTCTCTGTATCTGTGAGTGCTTCTTTTTGTTATATTCACTCGTTTGTCGTATTTTTTTAGGTTCCATATATAAGTGATATCATACAGTGTTTGTCTTTCTCTGTCTGACATGTTTCACTTAGTATAATCCCCTCCCAAGCCATCTACGTTGCTGCACATGGCAAAATTTTGTTCTTTTTATAGCTGCGTTACCTATTTCATGTGTGTGTGTGTGTGTGTGTGTGTGTGCGCGCGCGCGCGTGGACTTGCCACATCTTCTTTATCCATTCATCTGCTGGTGGACGTTTAGGTTGTTTCTTCCCTGGTGGTTCAGGCACTAAGGAATCCACCTGCAGTGCAGGAGACGTGGGTTCGATCCCTGGGTTGGGAAGATCCCCTGGAGGAGGGCATGGCAACCCACTCCAGTATTCTGGCCTGGAGAATCCTCGTGGATGGAGGAACCATGGTGGGTCCATGGCAAAGAGTTGAACGGGACTGAGTGACTGAGCAGAGCACATGGTTTGTCCACTGTAAATATTGCTGCTCTGAACTTTAAGCTTCGTGAATCTTTTAGAATTAGTGTTTTTGTTTTTTCCAAATATATACCCAGGAGTGGAATGGCTGGGTCATGTACTGGTTTTATTTTTAATTTTTTGAGGACTCTCTACCCTGTTTCCTGTAGTGGCTACAGAAGTTTGCATTCCCACCTGCAGTGTACAAGGGTTCCCTTTTCTCTAAATTCATCTGAACCTTAACCTAATTCTTCTAAATGAGGGAAATACTGCAAGATCTCTAACTTTTTATGAGTAGCTCTGTATTTAGTCTTATTCCCACTAAGATAACAGCAGTATTATCTGCTGGATCTGCTGTTTTTGATCCCTTATTAATTCCACTGATTAAATCAACCTCCGTTCAAAGAGATTGCAGATTACTTCGAGAAGTTCTGCATGGGACTTGGTGTCCATGTCTCTGACATCTCAGAAGTCCACCTTAAAAGTCAGGATGTTTTCCTGTGTGCGTTGTGGAAGGGAAAATGCAGCTCATACCTCAGAATTTTAGAGAGTGTGCGTAGTTGTGACAAATGAAGGTGATGAACCTGATACTAGAATATCTTTTCTTTTCTTTTTATTTTAACATTTCTCTCATTAAAAGTCTCTGTCACATAGCCTTTAGGCAGAGACCAGGAGAATATTCAAAGTTGATTTCCAGCATGAGATGTGTGCATTTGTAGATGGTAAAATGCTTTGACAGGTTTAAGTGCTGTGAAGCAGTAAAGAACTTATTTTGTACATATCATGTCTTTTTCAGAATAATACCTGTCTCCACTGGGCTCTAAGCAAATTGCGTATTAAAACAGTCCAGACCTCATTCAGTTTCACTATGAACAGACAGATATTGGTGGTGTTATTCTTGGATCTAAGGCTTCCCCTTTTGAGATAGCAGCTACTTGTGATGGGTGCCTATTTACATTCAGATTGAAATGAATTAACCTTAAATAAAATTTAAAATTTAGTCCCTCAGTTGCATAAGATATATTTTAAAAAAAATGCTCAATAGCCACCTGTGGCTCGTGGCTACTGTCTGGAAAACTTGGCTATAGAACATTTCCATCATTCCAGAAAGTCCTGTTGGGCACTGTTGAGGATGAGGTGGCAGACGCTGATGTCAGCCTGTGTGTCTGAATCATGAGTATTCCTTAGCTTTTGCCATCAGTCATGTATCCTTTAGGGATTCCCTGGTAGCTCAGCTGGTAAAGAATCCACCTGCAATGCAGGAGACCCGGGTTCAATTCCTGGGTCGGGAAGATCCCCTGGAGAAGGGATAAGCTACCCATTCCAGTATTCTGGGGCTTCCCTGGCGGCTCAAAGGGTAAAAGAATCTACTTTCAGTGCGGGAGACCTGGGTTCAGTCCCAGGGTTCATCCATATTATTATGATCAGCAGCGTATTTTTCTGTCTCAGGCAAGCACAGGATGCTGACGTTCATGCTTTCTAGGCACGAACACTCTGCGCTCTTTGAAACGTGAGCTGACAGAGGACAGGCAGAGGGTAGCGATGGTCATTTGGGTCGGATTCTCCTCAGCACTCTGTAGTGGCCTATGTGGGAAAAGAATGTAAACACGAGCAGATATCTGTGTATATGCAATGCAGGGGACCCAGGTTTGATCCCTGGGTGGGGAAGATCCCCTGGAGAAGGAAATGGCAACGCACTCCAGTATTCTTGCCTGGGAAACCCCATGGACAGAGGAGCCCGGTGGGCTGCAGTCCACAGAGTCGATAAGAGCTGAACACGAATGAGTGACTAAACAACAACAATAACAAAGTGTAAGGAAGACAGCAGGCAGATTCTGGTAAGGACTCTGGGAGAGACACACAGGGCCGAAGATGTGGGTCCGGAGTGGGAAAGGCTCCTGTCCTGCGCGGGGGAACATGGAAGCCTTGTCCGGGGAGTGGTGGGTGTGACGGACCTGAAAGACGACAGGGTGAGATGTGAAAGCGGCTTATGTTGGGAATAATTGGCCTGAGGTACAAGCTCGGGAGAAGAGGTCTGCAGGGACGTCTGGGTCGCCCTGACGCGAGGTCTGAATGCCAGGCCCGGGGGTGACCTGGCCGAGCAGGCCGTGGGGAGCCAGGCAGGCTGAACAGTTTTCTGCTGGGCTCCACTGGTGCTTTCAAAGGGAGGAATGCGTTCCTTCGGTGGGGGAGGGAGCCGGGGATGAATGGCTGTGTTTGATCTCATAGAGCCACCGAATTTGTCAAATGGCATTTCTGCTGCTGAGCAAAAGAACAAAGTTAAGTACGCAGGGCGCTCGCCAGGTGTGCTGCTGTGTGCAGGCTCGCTCCCTGCCATTTTTCATCGGAGCTCGGCGCTCTGGCCCGGCCCAGTGGCGGGGCGCATGCCTCGGGGAGGCCCTGACAGATGCAGATGGCGCTGGTGGGGTTGAGTACAAAAGCAGAGGGTCCCTTTGGACTTTTTCTTCTTTTAGAGAGTTGGAGGCAGCGGTTTACTGGAGCACTCTTTGATCTTCACTTAGCTTTATTTTGTCCTGTTGTCCCACACCTTTTATTGGCTTTTCAAAATTTATATCGAGTTATCCCTAGTCCTTGGTAGCCAGATGTGTACCCAGAGCTGGATTTCTAAGCCACGTGGCATCCTTGTGATCCCACAGCGTTAAACTGAAAATGTCGCGCTTTATTTCCTAACGTGAACTTGAGTTGCTTCAAGTGGGTGGCTTAACAGACAACAGCAAATGAAACAGCTCACCTATGAAAAATAAGAGCTGCCAGTAATTCCCTCAGTCTTCTCTAAGGTGTCTCAGGACCATCTGCAGAGCTCTAAGAATTTCCAATATAGAGCTATGCTAGCATTTTCCAACTTTAAAAATCTTCTTTTTTTTTTTTTTGCAATTTCATCATTTGAGATGGGATGTTTCTTACAGTCTTGAGGCATACCTTCTTGGGGACAGTGTTTCATGAAAAGTGGTTAAAGTGGAGGTAATCTTTATGTATGTGATGTTTTACAACCAAGGGAATGAGGCATTTTGGGTGGTTTGAAAGCATCAGCCCTCACCGCCCACCCCGCCACCGACTCCCAGTGGCTGTGATGAGCCTCAGAGGGCCTCCCCGGGACACACAGCTCACACAGCCCCTGACTGGGGCTCAGAGGAGGATGGAACTTTCCAGGCTTCTGCCTAGGAAGGGCAGAGGCAGCAGGGCTCCTGGCTGGAGCCAGCCCCAGGGGATGGGATAAGCTTTAGAGTCACCATGCCTGGCAGTGTCTCAGCAACCGGCTGGTCTCCCCGTCTTGGATTTGCTCCTCCAGACTCCCTCTCACTTCCCCAGTAGGTGTTTAACAAGCTCTGTAAAGAGTCGCACTGTTCTGGAAGGGGCGTTGAGAAGCCCTGTGTCCAGGTGACGCTACTCCCACGGGAGCTGGCGCAACACTGGTCCAGGGGCCTGGGGTTTATCTGGTCCAGACTCCAGCTGCTTAGCTCCCCAGCTGTCATCTTCTGGAGCTCCCTTGAGGTAGTTTAGCTGTCGTGGCCTCTTTTGCTCCCAAGGCCCCGCCAAGTGGCCTCTGAATGAGCCTACAGTGGCTCTGAATTAGTTTGCTGGGATTAGGCCAGTGGATAAGGTCAGGCACTGTCCCTTCCTGGGCTCAACTTTTGAGGGGATGATGGCCTGGAAACTCATTTGCCTGTATATCCTCACATTTTTGTTAAAAATGTGTAGGCACTTACAAAGCATTTTTTTTTTTTTTTTTTTGTATNCAGTCGTGTTCGCCTCGTAGCAACCCCATGGACTGCAGCCTCCAGGCTCCACCATCCTTGGGATTTTCCAGGCAAGAGCACTGGGGTGGGGTGCTATTGCCTTCTCCGGGGTACCTGCATACATAAAGCTGATTGGGGCTTCCTTGGTGGCTCAGATGGTAAAGAATCCACGTGCGATGCAGGAGACCCAGGTTGGATCCCTGGGTCGGGAAGATCCCCTGGAGAAGGGAAAGGCTACCCACTCCAGTATTGTTGCCTGGGAAATCCTGTGGACAGAGGAGCCTGGCGGGCTACAGTCCGTGGACCACAAAGAGTCAGACACGACTGAGCGACTACCACTTTAACACTTTAAGGCTGGTCTGCTTTGCTGTCCAGGAGAAACTAACACAACGTTATAAGGCTACTCTACTCCAGAAAAAATTAACTTTAAAAGAAAAAGGAATTGCAGAGGACTCGTGGGAGGTTGAAGAAGTGAGGCGGGTCAGGGACATGTTTTAGAAAAAAGGAGCGCGTTCAAGGCTCACGAGCAAAATCACAAGGGACCTGAACTGCTTTCCATTTTGACAGGATTTGGCCCTGGAAGAAGCTGTTCTGGAGGAACTGACGCAGAAGGTGGCCCAGGAACACAAAGCCCACAGGTGAGGCAGGGCTGCCTGGCCCAGCATGCGGCCACTGTCCTGGCTGAGACGGGGGTGGTGGCCCCCCACCCCGCAGCCGGCGGCTCGAGTCCCCACAGTTCTGTTTCTGGTAGCAAGTGACTCAGCTGTCTTCTGAGAGTGCATGTAGATTGGAAAACTGTGCTCTTTCCCCTACTGCCCTTTCTTCTTTTCTTTCTTCCTTTTTTTTTTCCTTTCTTCCCCCCCACCCCCCTTTTCTCCTGTTCTTCAACACCAGTAGACCCACACTGATGCGGAGCTGTTGGCCAGAGGAATTCCTCTCTGTGACCTTCCTAAAACTCTGTTGCTGGACTTGGGAAGCCTGGGGCTGCTTGTGCTGAGTGTAGACCTCAAGAGCTACTTTGGGTGGGAAAGTCAAGATCAGGGAGAAAAATGGTGAGATTCAAGTCATCACTGAGAGCTTATTCAGGGCTGCTTGGAGCTCTTTGGGATGAATAGAAAATAAACAGCTTCCCTTCCAACTAAACCACCACCACTTCCAACCTCAGAGGATGTGTGCAGCGGTCCTAGGCTCTCTTAACTTCGTTACTTGGCTCCCAAATTATCATACTCATAATCTTTTTCCTTTCCTCCTTTTTCCCTTCTTTTTTTCTTAACAGTGGAGATTTGTTCCCCCAGGTTGGAGAAAAAAAAATTTTTTTTTTCCCCAGCAGTCAGCATTATTCACCAGGAGTCTGGCATAATCCATGTTCATAGGGCTGTGGCTCTCAATTAAATGCTTTACCTTCCTCTTATTATTCCCTGTTGAGTGAAAGGCTACTGGGGGAAATGTTAATGAGTTACTTAGTAAAGTACTGTGCCTACAGTTGGGTGATGATGGCTTTCCCAGAACTAAAGCTACGGTTCTGGAATTCGCCACCAGGAGAGTCGGGTCTTCCACTGATTTTATTGCCCTTAACCGTTTCCTCCTTTGATACTCTTTTGGTTTTAGTGGAATCCTGCCAGCAGAAGCTGAGCTTCTGTACATCAACGAGGTGGAACGTTTGGATGGATTTGGACAGGAGATCTTCCCTGTGAAGGTAGCATCCCCTGTCCTTGCTTCAGCTGTCTCAGAACAGCACAGGCATTTGGAAAACTAGTGTTGCTTGAGAGCAGAGAACCAGAAGGCTTGGCTTTCTCATTTCTACATGCCATTAGTTAGCAAGTCCAATTTACTTTAGTGAAAGCAAACCCTTTTTTGTTAATGGAGAGATTTTGAAGCTTTCCACAGTCCTCAGCAGACTGTCTCAATTGTAAGACGACCTTCTGGGTAAGTAGCCAAAACCAGCCCATCTGGTGCCGAGAAGTTATCAAGGTCACAGCCGACCTTACAGCGGGACACGAAGCCAGCGGGACACGAAGCCAACGTCACGTGTGCCTTAATACAGATCCTCCCCAGCAGTTTTCCTCCCCAGCCTTTTCTTTTCTCTTCTTGGGGCTGATGCAGTGATAACTGTTTGTGAGGAAGAATGAAACATTTCCTGGATACAATTATACTTTATTTCTCTGGCTCTAGAGAGCCTCTGTTGTGGATTTCCAGCCCCTTTGGTGTTTTCTGGAAAGTATGCCTAGGAAATGGTTATAAGCACATCCCACCCTTTGCCACAAATTCACCTCCTGAAGTGAGGGTGTGGTGGTGGGGTCGTGGTGCAAGGTCATCTATAAGAGCTGAGTCCATCATCCAAACTAATTTTCCTCTCTCTGGTGACCCACTTTACCAAAGACGGAGTTTTATCAGAAACCTAAAGCAACTGGCACATTTCAGCAATTTGGGAGACTCCTGCAATTTCAGCATAAACATTTCACTGCAAACTGGCTCCACTGGCTGTTTTATAAGTGTTCTGTTCCCCCTCTGTTGCACGTTTGCAATTTGCCTTAATGAGAACTGCCCATGTGTATCAAGTAGACTAGAGCAGGGTGGCCGCAGCTTGCAAACAAGGCCAAATGGCTCTTTTCTAGATTGGTTTAATTTTCTTTTGATTCGCTGACGGCTGCCCTTCATAGGGTTGTAATCCCTTTTCCTTGCAATAATGCCTTATGAAGCCATCTGCATCCCACTTACATTTCAGCAGCCCATATATAGTCATGATATTTTGGAAAATCAGAGTAAACTTTTCTCCACTTCTAGAAAACCCGACTTTTTGGGCCCTGGAGATTGGAGGTTTGGTTATGGGGGTCATTTGCTTGCGTGGTTTTTAAAGTCATTCTGAACTGTGGGAAGCAGAAGCAGTGGAGACGGCATTGAAATCCGCTCTGCTGGGTTCGGATGCATTTTTGAGTCTGTCCTTTAGTGGGAAAAGTGCAGGGAGCTCCCAGAGCTGCTCCGAGTGGGCAGACAGGCTCGGCTGACTCACGGCCTGTGGGTGTAAGTCTGCTGGCCTGCTGCTTTTTTTCCTCCCCCACTGCATATCTGCTCATGACTCAGGTGACCACCTACAGACCGCGTGATTCCGGGTGACCCAAGGATGCGGGGCAGGGCGGTGGTACCCGTGGGGGCTGTGACGGAGTCGGCTGTGAGTGAAAAAGCATCAAGGGCAGCCTGCCCGTGGTGATGGAGTCCCTCTGGGTCAACCTTCTTGGCCAAGGAAGGTTTCAAACATATGTTATGGCTGTGTCCCAGGGACGACCATTTAAGTTTCATGTAGGGTTTTTTTTTTTTTCTTCCCAGTGAGTGATTTCTCAAAAAATTTTTCAAGATTGGGGAGCAGGAATACCAGTGCATTTCTTGACAGGGCTTTCCCTCCCCGTCCACAAACACGGGGTGCCCGCAGCCTCCGTGGGCTCCCGTACTGTCAGAGCAGGTGGGCACAGGGGGAGGCAGCTTCTGGAATGGGTCACACCGGGTCTGGAGCCTCAACCCGAGCTGCATGTGCTGTTCTGACGGGTGTGTGGTCCGTGGTTTCTCATCGTCCCACGCTGGTGGCCTGCTCCCCCCATGTCCCCATCTGTCCCCCTTGACCTCTGCACCCACCTCCTGGCAGCATCCCCGGGGAAGTCTTTCCACAGAATTTTCCTTTCTCTTCCCATCTCTACTTTGCCCGTCTTCGTTTCCCACATAGATTTTTTTTTTAATCATGTAACTTACTTTTTAGCTCCTTGTAATTACTGAGGCCCTCTCCCCCATCCCGAGTTCTTTCTCGCTCAGCTTTTGCCATCAGCAGTTGTCTCCCCTTTCTCTCTCTCTCTCTCTGAGAAGATTCCTATATGAATGGAAAGTTTTGGGGAAGTGGGTTGAGATGAGGTCCTAGAGAAGGAGGTCTTTGTGTCTTAGATGGGATCAGGTATTCCGAGGAAGGTTAGGGGTTTCTCTTTGCTTTCCTGGGCTGAGTTGGGCGTGTCTCTCCCCTCACTCCACAAAGAGGACGCCTCCCAAGTGAAAACAGGGGGCTGGGTGACAGTTTGCTCCCTGGATGCTGAATCTTACTCCCACTCTGCTTTCAAGAACACTGGAGGCTGGGTTATGCTTTCCCAGGCAGGAGGTTGGAGGCACCTGACTGGACCAAGAGACCAGACTGAAGACAAGACCCCTGGCCTCTCCCAGACAGGGCCCAGCGGATTGCGAACAGTGAAGCTTACAGTCCACGTGCCCTTCCTGTGCTCACAAAGGTCCCAGCCAATGTTTAGCCTCCCACCCTGGAGCATGAATAGATACTCGATCATCACACCCCCCAGGGTGCCCTGATAGGAATAACAGAGGTCAGCACAATGAGGATGAAGCACCCCAAAAGAGGCAGAGATTCTGCAGGGTGAAGGATTCCCCCATCCCTCATACTGTGAGCTTCAGGGATTTTACATATTTATGTATTATATATTACCTCATTGAAGGAGTAGGTTGCTTTTAAAAGAGAACATTCAATTTTGTTAATCTGGAAAAAAAAATAAAAGAGAACATTCACAAAATAAAAACTCTCAGAAATTTATAATATGATATCAGAATGGTAAACTTAATAGACAGGTTAGAAGAGTAAGAAAAGTCTCACCAAAACCCTGAGTTATGGAATGTGGGAGGCAGGAGATAAAATTGGAGGGCCAGCCCAGATGTTCAGCATTTGAATAATGGGAGTTCTGAAAAGAGTGAACAGGGGAAACAGAAGGTAGTAATTTGAGAAAATATTCCCAGAACTGAGGAACACGAGGTTCTAAATTGGAAGGCCGAGCATGGTGGATGCAAATAGACACACTCTAGGGCTTTAAGTGGTAGAACTGGATGCCTTTAAAGGAGAGGAAATGGTGACTGCTGGTGCTTTAAACAAGATCTAAAGAATATTCAATTCCTCAAATTATGTGCCTGTGTAATTGCACATATACAGTATGCATATATAATCAAAATGTATGCACATGTAATTTTGATTTAAAAGAAAAACAAAAACTAGGGTTAAAAAAGATATTAATAGATGCTCATGAAAGAGATCTTAACTGCCAACCAATCTGAGAAAAATCCTAAAATTCTTTCTTAAACAGGAAATGTGACAAATTGAGATAAAAGAAGAAAACGTATCTATGTAGTCTCTTAGAATGTGCAGTGGACACCTCCCTTCAGGGTGCCTTGTTGCCCCGATGCCGTCTGTGACTCATTCCATGTATGGGCGAGAAACGGGGTGCGGTCCCCATGGGGAGGCTACCAGACCGCTGGGATGTTTTTCCTCACAACGATCTCTTGTTGATCTTACGCAGGACAATCATGGAAACAGTGTGCACCTGGGCATTTTCTTTATGGGGATTTTCGTGAGGAACAGAATTGGAAGACAAGCAGTAATCTACAGGTAGTCTGATTTGTCTCCTTTCTCCTTTCTCCCCTGGAGGTGTTCTCCCAAACCCCGTGGAGTATGAAAGTTATATGGATGAGTTAAGAGCCAGACCGTGGATAAGAGTTGAGCTTTTCTCAACTCTAATAAGATCAGATCCCTCTGCAGGGTTTAAGTGGTTATGGAGAAATTCCTCTCACTTTCCCTGGGGGTTTGTTTAGGGGCGGGGGATAGAGAATGCTCTTTGTTTCCACTGACTCCAAGACCTTCATAGTTGAACCTCCACTGAGTCAGAAGCATGGAACCAAATTCTCTGAGTCTGGTTGGAAATGGGCTCTTTAGGCATGAGGCTCCTGCAGGATGCACTTTGCCCAAATTACCCATGCTGCTGCTGCTAAGTCACTTCAGTCATGTCTGACTCTGTGTGACCGCATAGACAGCAGCCCACCAGGCTCCCCAGTCCCTGGGATTCTCCAGGCAAGAACACTGGAGTGGGTTGCCATTTCCTCCTCCAATGCATGCAAGTGAAAAGTGAAAGTGAAGTCGCTTAATCGTGTCCAACTCATAGCGACCGCATGGACTGCAGCCCACCAGGCTCCTTCATCCATGGGATTTTCCAGGCAAGAGAGATTACCCATGACTTAAATCCAACCTGGCTTCATCCATTGCCCAGCGCGCCCTTTGCCTAATGCCATGTGCTATAAAGGTGCAAACTAATTTTTCTATTAAAGAAAGAGGGCTGTTTGTGAAAGTATGTTTTGAAAAATCAATGTTTGTTATCATTAATGAAAAGACGTTGGTCCTTTTTTATTACTTTGATCCTTCAGCCTTCTTTTCCATTTAACAGGAGTGGAAGCAGCATAGGGAAGTGACAGAGTGTCCCCTACATTACAGGTCCATGAGCTTGCCTTGTATTGATGCCCACAGATCCCATGCTAGTGTCAAAATCCGAAAAACTGCACCCTTACTTTCATTTATGAGGGCAGTGTGGCCTATTATTTACAGGAAAAGCAGCTTTCCTGCGTGTGCATCTGATAGGCAGAGCTGCACGCAGTCCAGGGAAGATGATCAAAGACGGCTCTTAGAGGCAGAGCATGGTCCACCTTCTGGAAGTAAATTCTTGGCCAGCCGTGTACTTCTTGGATCAGCAGTTACTGCAGGTCATTTGGAGAAAGTTTTCCCATTAAAAGCTTCCTAATTGGCTTTTGTTTTCCTAGGTCCCCACCCTGCCATTATTTTTGTCCAATTGTTTCCTTTTGCTCTTTGAATAGAGACATTATTGAAGGAGGAGTGGAGAGAGAGAGCTTTGGGGCTACAAAATAAGCTTTTTTATTTTTGGACATGTTTTTGACTTTGGGACATGTTGCAGGACTCATATACCTGCAACGAATTGAGCAAAATATATAAACGTGGGCAGAGTTGGAGCTATACATTTTTATGCCCAGGTAAAGTTACCCGGGCCTTTTGTCCCACACAGTTCTCTGTAGTTAAATCAGTGCTTGAGTCCAGAGAAGAGAAGCAGATAGATTTTGCATTCCGGCTCTCTGGATTAAATCGAAAATAGCAGTTTGAAAGTTCACTGATCATAATAAGCCCCTCAAAGGTTTTGTTCAGTTTCCTTGGGAACCGCTTCCAGCCCGCTTCCTTTAGCATGTGCCATGAAACCCTTGTAAGATGGGAATTTACTGCTACTGTAGTGTCCTGTTAACTGTGCCGCTAAAGGTGCAGTCATATGGTGGAGTGAGGAGTGGATCCAGGATTCTGACCGTCGATTTGAGGGAATGGAGCCAGAGAATATCAAATATCTTTTCTCTTTCGAGACCCTCAGTAAGGAGCATGTAGCTGTGAGGCCATGTAGATGAGATCTTATGGAGCTGTTAGTCAGCAGACAGCTTGCAGAATACCTGTAGATGTATATAAACACAGATGACATTGGTGTAATAGAAGGGTGACTGGAGGAAAACCTGTAAGGGATCGATATAACTCATGCTGATAAGGAGAGTGGATAAGGCCAAGTCCTCCCCTTTGGCCTGAATTGCCTCATCTCCAAAGTGGGAAACTTGTCTGCCTAGAGAGCTAATAAAAGAACTGGCCTTTATACAGATAGGAGGCAACATCCTTACTTTTCATTATTTCAGCAAGCATCTAGCGTATGCTCTAAACCAGATGTACTCGGTCCATGGAATACAGAGATGAAGCAAGCAGAGTCTCTGCCCAAGGCACGGGTCCTATGGTTGAGTTTGGTTTAGTTAGTTAGTTAGTCTGATCACAGACATAAACCACTGTGATACAATGTGGTGACCGATAAAGGACTACACCCGGCTCTTTCCTGGCATGTAGGTGGTTGGGAGTGAGGAAAGGCTTCCTGGAGAAGGTGGCTGCTTCTGAGTCTTAAAGGAATCATTCAGGCAGAGATGGAAGTGCAGTGAGCAAAAGCAGGATAGAAGGGGACTTCATGGCAGTCCAGCAGTTAAGACTCTGAACTTCTACTACAGGGGGTTCGAGTTTGATCCCTGGTTGGGGAACTAAGATCCTTCATTCTGCCACAGCATGGTCAAAAAAAAATTTTAAGTTTAAAAAAAAAGCAGGATGGAGAGGAAAAGGCAGTGGGCAGGGAATTATAGGTTGGGGAGCAGAGTGAAGGGCAGGTAGTGTAAGAGATGGTTAGAAACTGGCTCTAAATAGATGGGAAGCAGGAGCTTCCCTTCCCTTGTGTGGTGGTTCTGTCTGTGTATCTCATTTTAGGTCAGATCTCTGTAAGGAAAGGGAAGGAAATTTGTGTGTGTGTGTGTTTATATCACAAAAATGTAGACACATTAAACATTCACTCAGCATTTTTTCTAAGTGGCATAATCAAATCTGTAGTGTACATTGCAACACAGAATCTCTGTGGATTCTTCAGCCTAGGTTCCTGAAAATACATAATTTATTTTATTTTATTTTTTTGCTGCCCTGTGTGACTTGTGGGGTCTTAGTTCCCAACCAGGGGTGATCCTGGGCATACAGCAGTGAAAGGCTGGAATCCTAATCACTGGACCTCCTGGGAACTCCACACGTGACTTTTAAATGACCTGCTCTCCCAGTATTGAAAATGGGGTTCATGGGAAAGACTTTGTCCATCTGGAAATATGAAAAACTAGGCAGCAGAAGTCTCTTGCATATTTTTCTCCTAGCTTATAAGGGAAAGTGTACTTCATCAGACAGCAGCGTCGAGGCGGTAGGTAGCTATTTAAGTAGATGCATATTGCATTTTATTTCCATTTCTGCTTTGAAGGAAGAAATGTTTAGCTTTTAAAAATACAGCTAAACCATCATTTGTAAAGTGAGGCTCAGTAATAGCAGATGACCCTCCTGTACTGTCATAAATGTCTGGAAAGTCTTTGGGCAAACACTGTGGGATTTCTTCTGCACAGGTGGAATGACATGGGAAACATCACCCACAACAAGTCGACTATCCTGGTGGAGCTCGTCAACAAAGAGGAGACCGCCCTCTTTCACACGGTAAATCAGACAGTGAAGGCATGGTCCCACAGGCAGCTTGCTGTCTGACTTCTCAACTCCTAATATGCTTTCCTTGGTCTCCATGTCATGAGAGAATAAATAGTCTATCAGACCCATTACTTTCCATTATGTGCCCAATGCTGCCATCACTCATTTCCAAGGGGTGGTGGTGACCTGATGCTCACAATGTCAGGGTTCCAAGCTGAGTTTTACTCTAGGCTTTGCATTCTTCCACCAGCCTCATTTGTACTGGATCACAATGTCTGGCATGCCCTTTACTAGTCAGCTCTGATGATATGGCCTGGTATTTTCTTTCGCTGGCTTATTTGAATTTTCTTTGCCATCACAGCCCAAACCTGATGTGAAGCAAACTGGTGATTGCCTTTCTGTTGAGTTCCTCCTTGAGAACCAAGGCAGTTCACGCACCTCTCTGCCTCTAATTGAATGATGCTTGATATCCATGCCACACTCTGCCTTGATTCATTTATTGATTTGCAAAGTACTCGGTTTGGCATGATGTAAAGACATGCCAGGTCACTGGTGTAACCCCAGCGCCTTGGACATAAAGGATTCTCTAGCAGGCAGATCTAATACCTTTGGGTGGGCTTTATCAACATGACTGCCGCTGAATTTCAGCATGTTGGTATGTGGCTCAGGGGGCTATTTTGTGCCTGATATGAAGGGAGGAAGGGACGTGTCCCTGCCCAGAGGACTCGTAATGAAATGCATATATAAACAAATGTTTATTTTTTTCCCCATTTCTTCTTTTCCAAGGATGATATCGAAAATGCCAAGTACATATCTCGACTGTTTGCTACGCGGCACAAATTTTACAAACAAAACAAAATCTGCACCGAGTAAGTAAACATTTCATCCATCTGCTCCCCGGATAGCTTGTTCCAGCTTAAATTCCTATGCTTTCGGAATGTTGTAGATCACCTTTTCTGCTCACTCTTTAGCCTCATTCCTTGTAGAAGCTAAAGGGGCAAGCTGAAGCGGGGCGGGAGGGAAAGCGCTTTAATGATGAAGACCCTCTGGTGTCGCCTCTATGCCTAGGGGGAAAATGATTTGCAAATTGACTGTGAATGCTTGACTTCCTGGACGGACTGGCCAACAACAGTGCCTTTCCAACCTCCGCCATGAGTTTGGAGGAGCCGAGCAGTTCCCAATTTGCCAGGGCGCCCCTTCGTGTCAGATGTAGCGTGGGTTCAGAAGCGGGTAGCAGCGTGATGAGCCAACTTGAAAGAGAAGAAGCCGCTATCATCCTCAGCCCCGTGGCGCTCACACAGTTGGCTAACCCTGTGTGTGCTTCTGGGTCAAGTCACCCGCCTGTAAATGAGAGGCCAGGGTAATTAGAGGAAGACTTGGAAGACACTAATAGATGTCACAAATCCATGTGTGTGTTTTCAATTTAATTTGGAAATGGGGATGATAAAGAGAGTCTGATGAGAGAACTTAACCGTGACCTGACCTTGGATAGAGTGTGTCTGGCTCATGCTATCGTTGAATTTCCTCTGGTTGCCTTCAAAAGACGTTCCTCAGCAGAGTACCTCAGCAGTTGGGGCGCCCAAGGTGCTTAATTTTGTTTCAAAGAACTTCAGGGATGTAAATGCAAGAGAAGAACTGCTTTCCCGCTTCCCCAGTGGACACATCCAAGAGTGTGAAAATGCTGTCCTAGAGCAGATCCTGCTGTAGAAAGCACTGCTTTAAAACTGGAGGATCAGGTCCTGGCAGAGTTTTTTCCCTACGTGATGGAGACTCTTTTAAGCCAGTCTCTGCCACTGGTCACTCTTGGAGTCTGAAAGTATATTTGATAGTACAAGCAGTCAGCCCTCTGTATCTGTGGTTTCACATCTGTGGATTCAACCAACTGTGGATCAAAATATTTTTTAAAAAATTCCAGAAAATTCCAAAAAGCAAAACTTGAATTTCCTATGTACTGGCAGCTATTTACATTATGTTAGGTATTATAAGTAACCTGAGATGATTTAAAGTATGTGGGAGGATGTGCATGGGTTATATGCAAATCCTATGCCAGTTTACACAAAAGCATTGGTGGATTTTGGTATCTGAGGGGTCCTGGAACCACTCCTCCTTGGATGTCAAAGGATGACTCTATTAGGTCTGCAAACAAAGTTTGCAAATGTAAACCAGAAGAGCACTGATTCGGGAGCAGCATTTTAAGCAGCCATATCTATGTGATGAATGCACACATGCGTACACGTGCTCTCATGCACACACACACACCATTCTTGTGCACACACACCATTCTTTTGAATAGACTCCCTATAAGTCACATCTTTGCAGTTTTCTGCTACTGCCTTTTATTTGTTGAGATGTCTTTGAATTAACAAGAATTCTATAGTTGACTTCCATAGGATGGATTTAAGAAGAAAACTGTTGTGAGAAGTGAATATCACTGTAGTCTTCTTATTTGACCATTTCTTAGCAAGTGGCTTTATTATAAAACTTTCTGAGTATTCGTATTTCTTTTGTGTCCTTTTCTTCTTATATGAGTGAGCATCACGTATTATACTGAAAATTAAGGAAACTGTGTCCTCCTTCGTACTTCTGTAATAATCATTCCTTTCTTCTTCCTAACCGGGTATGTGAGGTTCCTATTCTCATATCTGATGAAAACTAGGACTCTCTAAAAACACCCTCATCCCCCACATAGACAGTAAATTCTGTGTGCAGTTTCAGAGTCTCACCATGGACTACATGAAGGCTTGGATAGCTCTCTGGAGTTTATGAAATCAGCATCATCTGGACAGCGTCCATCTCCAGAGGTCTCTGTTCTCTGACCTCTAAAAGATGGTCATTGATTTTTATTTCCCTTGTAATTCGTCTTTAGAAATAAGCCTCATTCTTTTCATATTACTTTGTAAAGCATTATAAAATATCATATATTCCAAACATTTTGCAAATAAAACAAGAGCAGAAAAAGGAAATTAAAATTGTCTTGGCCTCACAACCAGAAATAGAAAATATTTTTGTTTTACCATAATTCTTATATATTTGATATATAGGTTGGCTGGATCTTCTTTGCTGCTCTCGGGGTTTCTCTGCCTGCGGTAGTCTGGGGGGCTCCTCTTCATTGCAATGCACAGGCTTCTCTTCGTGGCGGCTTCTCTTTTTGCAGAGCACAGGCTCTGGGCGCACCGGCTTCAGTAGCTGCAGCTTGAGGGCTCCAAAGCAATGACTCAGTAGTTGCGGTGTACTAGCTTCGCTGCTCCTCAGCATGTGGAATCTTCCGGGACCAGGGATTGGATCTGTGTCTCCTGCACTGGGAGGCAGGTTCTTATCCACTGTACCACCAGGAAACTCCCTATTCTACTGTAATTCTTAACCCATTTTGTCTACTTTCCCCTCTTCTCCCTCTCTCATCTATCAGGTCATCTAGAATACGTGGTAAATAAGAATAACCATCCTCATTTTTTTCAACTTTTCATGTAGACAATCCAATTCTCCACCCCCTATCAGACGCCAGCCCACCTGGAGCCGGTCTTCCCTGGTATGTATGACATCTTCAGTTACCAAGTCCTCTGACCGCTGGGGTTCACATGTCCTTCTGTGGTTGATTTTGAGGGGAGGGGTGGCCAGGGCATCATGACCACGTGAGATCTGGTGAGAACACAGAAGGACATCAGTCAGTCTGCTCTGCGGGTGGGGTGTGCACACCCATGGCCATCACTTCTCTAAATGTGACCCCAGGTTCACCCCTGGGAGTCTTATTCCAGGCTGATGAGATCTTAGTCCTTCAGTGTGCAGCTTACTGTGTGTGTTTTTTTTCCACTTGCTTTATCACTGTTACTGATTTTTGCACATTTAGATATGTCATCAGTTATAATCTCTGCAAATTCTTTTCTAATCACTGCCATAGTTTAATAAACTAGTCGGAAAATGACTACTTGAAGGAAATATTGAAGGAGTCTAGTTGATGGTCTCAGCTAGAATATTTAGTGGGGAAGAAAATTAAGGTTAATTAATTTTCTAATTTTACAGTCAACAGAATTTGAGTTGAGGTACTTTTCTACCTACTGTTAGCCTTAAAAAAAACACAAAAAACTGCTCTCCTCATATAAATAAGGAAACAACTCATTGTCATGTGAATAAGGAAATAACTTATTCTAGGTTATGATTTATTTTACACAAAATAAAAATAAACAGATGGCCTTTAAATGTCTGTAGGTGAAGAGTTCCTTTGAATTGATGGGATAATAAAATTTTTCTTTATACACGATATATATCCTATAGGACATCTTTAACCTGTCATTTAAAAGGAACTATTTAAGGAATTTTTTTTTTCCTGGAAAATGCATTCACATGAATTCTTAGAATTCTAGAGTTTGTTCATCTTATCATCACTTATTAATTCCTGAGAACCCATGTAAATACTATTAGTTCTCTGTGTCAATGCATGATCTCTCACAGAAAGTCCTTGGAGATGTAGTGGGTTGCTTTGGGCTTCTCCCCTGAAGCAGCAACGGATTTCCTCCTGGCATTGTTTTCTTTATTCTTCTCCTTTGTTGGTATTATTTCACTTTTCCCTTCCTTAGAGTCCACACATCTTTACTAGTGAGATAAATGTTCACTTGTGTCCATGAAATGCCAGGGGAAGCAGAGTGTTTCAGGGCTATCTTGATTTTTTCCTGGAAAATGCATTCACATGAATTCTTAGAGTTCTATAGTTTGTTCATCTTATCATCACTTAATAATTCCTGAGAACCCATATAAATACTATTCTCTGTGTCAATGCACGATCTCTCACAGAAAGTCCTTGGAGATGTAGTGGGTTGCTTTGGGCTTCTCCCCTGAAGCAGCAACAGATTTCCTCCTGGCATTGTTTTCTTTATTCTCCTTTGTTGGCATTATTTCACTTTTCCCTTCCTTAGAGTCCACACATCTTTACTAGTGAGATAAATGTTCACTTGTGTCCACGAAATGCCAGGGGAAGCAGAGTGTTTCAGGGCTATCTTGTGATTTGATCGCATCCTGATTATCTGGAGAAGATACAGAGGCTTTCCTGTTTCATTCGGATGCAGATAATCTGCAGGAAGCCGGGTTCCTGGCTTCTCCCTGTCCTCTGCCCTTTAGGATTAAACCGTGTCAGCAAGCGTTTCTTGGGATGAGTGAGAGTAAAACCAGATAACGTCGCCTTTGCCTTTCCTAGTTGATAACCAGGGTTCCCGGTGGTGGTTTTTCTCTTGCTCTTTGGGTCCTATACTGTGGCATCTAATTTGTTGTTGTCTTAGCTGATCTGGAAAGAAAAAGAATAATACACTGAAATATATGAAGAGATAGAATAAATAATGCAATCCTGAAATGGTATTTGGAAGATTACTATTATTACCTCTCACTTGTATTGCTTTTACACTTATGTTGGCTCATAAACAGTGACTGACTTGTAGGATTTTTCTTTTTAAAAAACTTAAAGCAAGAGAAGGCAGGGTGAGCCAACTTTGCCTTGCTGTGTATTTCTATTCTCTTGTGTGAATCCTTCCCTGCTGGCTTTTTTTTTTTGTCTTTTTTTGTTGACATGAAAACTGGCTATCCAGTCATGGAAAAAAATGAGTTGAATTAGCTGTTACCAAAAAGCAGAAAAATATTTTTAAACTGCTAGTCAAAGACCAGCCAAAGAGAGATTTGGGAATGTTTAGAAGAACTGATACCCTTAAGTGCTGTATTAGATTGGTTTTAATTCTTTATTTCTTTTCCTCTTTTTCTCTTTAATTTTTGGATTTTTGGTCATTATATCTTCTTTATTTGCTCTTTTGATACATAAACATTATTTGCAGAAAAGGAAATAGTAGATGAGTTATCAACACAGGTTCATACTGCCCCGTGTTCTTCAGTCTAGGGATACTAAGAAAGTGTGACCCCTGCTGGCTTTGTGTGGTTTTTTTGGCTTGATCTCCACTTCTGTCCCAAAGCAGTAACATTTAAACCAATGTCTATAAGACAAACTTAAAGATAATCAAATAGAAATATAAGAGACCATCTGGTTTGGTGCTTTACAGGCTTAAAGTGTATTTTTTAGCATTACAACTCTTTCTTCAAACATATTTTTACTTGGAACCCAATATCTAAATAAAATGGATCATGTTGGAAGGAGGAGACTGATTTGATTGACAGGAAGCTGAGACCTATTGAGATTAAATGACTTCCTCTAGACCACATTAGCAACTAACCATGTTTCCTTTGTCAGCTTCCCAAATCGCAAAACTATCTAAGCATTTTGGTGTTTTCTCTGAGTTTGACCCTCCTCTGCAACATGCGATCATTCAGATTGAGTGTAAATGGCCATGTTTGAGTCTTATGGCAATGAGTCTTCACTGAAAGGGTAGATGGTTGCTCCTGCAAGGTTCTCTGCAAGACCTTTCCACATTTGGTTCTGCAAGGGGGGAGGGTCAATAAGTGGTCTTGGGAATTGCACACTTACTGTTATGGGTCCCATTTCAAATTTTATATACGTTTGCAAGTGGGCCCAGCTTAACACTCCCCCACCCCTATTTGAGGTTGTTGTGGCAGTGTGAACTTGGGTCACAGGTACAGCTATGCCGATAGATCCAAGCTTGTGGCTGTAGGAGGGACCCAGTGTTGAATAGAAGGAAACAGACTTCCCCTTGACTCTCCTTATGTTTTAGGTGGAGCATCATAATATGCATGTTCTGAGTTTTTCCTTTGAAGAGCAGCACTGGGAGCTTTGCACAGGTGTCAGAAAGTAGGCTATAATGAAGTCCCTTCGTGCTGACTGCAGCCTCTTTCTCCCGTTGAGCCAGCCTCCCTGTTCCCCGCTTCGTGTGTCTCCATTCCGAGGCTTGGTGATGAGATGAGGGTGCAGATGCGCAGAAGAGGGTGGACTGAGGGAGGGCGGAGAATCCCCCACGTGTCTCCTTGCAGGGCTGAGCGTGGGGCCCGTCCTGCGCTCGGGCTGGTGCCCGGGAGCGCTCCGGCGCGGGGCCTCCCACACGTGCTGTGTTCTCTGTTTCAGCCCCGGCAGCAGCCCTACATCCTGCCTCCCGTGCACGTCCCGTGCGGCGAACACTACTCGGAAACACACACTTCTCAAGGTAACGCTGGCTCTCTGCTGTCCCTTCTTAAGACCTGAGTTTGAGTACTGGGGATCAGTGCTGAGATCATTTTGTTTTAGACGACAGCGATACTTTTATTTTACCTTTGTCATGGTCTGAATGGCAGCAGTTTGGGATTTGTGAGAGTCACGGAATACCATTTACCCCTGAGACGAAAACTTCCCCAGAATTGTGTGTGGAAGGAGTTGGGGGAAGACAGAAGGCGAGTTCCTTTCTCTTCCTCCTCATCCTCGAAAGTGGGTTAGAGAAGAGAGTGACAGCTAAGCCCAGCAGAAGACTCTTCACCTTCCTTGCCAGGGTCAGAGAGCTTGTAACAGTCAGCCAGGTTTTCATGGTGACGGAGAACACAGGCATCCAGGATAATTGAAAGAAACACACACATAATCTAGCCCCTCATTTTAGCTCTGGTTTGCTGCCTCTCCCCCAGTCTCTTTCGTTCCTAGTCTCTCTGAACACTCCCCTGCAAAATATATGGAAAGAAAAAACCCATTTCAATAATAATGGTCTAACGATGAACATTTATAGAGCAGTTCTTTTCCTTAAGCACTGTTCTAAGTACTTGCACTGCATTGTCTCATTTCATCCTCAAAATAAACCTAGGAGATAGGTACTATTGATGTTATTTCCATTTGCTATAGAAACTGGGATACAGAAAGGGTATTGGAGGAGCTTGGATATGAAAATCAGTGTCTTAACTCTGGAGCCGGTGCTCCGTGATCATTTCAGTAACTGTATCTTAGAAAACAGATGGGATCAAACACTAGATGTTGACAGTGGGGTAAAGGATAATTCATTTCTGTGTTATCGTATGCTAGCTCTTTTCAATCTTTGCACTGTCAAAGTGTGAGCCTGGAAACTAAGATCATCAAGATGATGTAAGCAGACTAGCAAAAGTTACCCTGCTTCTATGGGAAGGCACCAAACCCCATTAGAGGTGGATAAATGCAGTGTCTCTCTCTCCTAGTTTTCCTGGCTTCTATCATTTCATTTTGTCTATATTCCCACCTCTCCTCTTTAGGCAGCCAAGTATTTTCAGTCACATTTTCTGTTTTTTAACCTTTTCTGCGTTTGAATTCCTCTACTCCACTCATGCTTAAATCTACCGTGTACAAACAAATATATTTTGCCCACAGAAAAATGTGTTTGTAAGAGCTTGCCTCGAAAGGGTGTGTGTGTGTGTGTGTGTGTGTGAAAGGAAGACTGGATGCATAGAATGGTCCTGACTTTAGAAATCCACTCTTTATCTCTTTGTTATTGTTGTTGTTCAATCGCTAAGTTGTGTCTGACTCTTTGTGACCCCATGGACTGTAGCACACCAGGCCTCCCTGTCCTTCACTATCTTTTATCTCTTTAGGTACCTGTTTAAAGTATTAATAATTTTCATGTGAAATTGACCTTGGTGATGAAACCAAGTCTAGAGGCGGGTTTTAGACAGGGGTAAAATTATGCTCCTGAGTCTTATTTTGCCTTTCACTGATCAGAACGAAGTAGCCATGCCTGCTGACATCCTGACTGTGTTACTTGCGTTCTGTCTTGATTAATGCTCAGCAGTCCCTTGGATACAGGGAGTTTTTCCATTGCAGTCAAGGAAGATCAGCTCCAAGAACTCCAAGTTCTTCACTTCCTGGCCCAAATATCCAGTTCTGTCATTGAGCCCTACATAAGAGGGACCAGTCTCCCTGTGTGAGGACCGTTGTTGGTATCTCAGGCCAAATCAAGAACTTAACCCAACTGACAGCAGTTCCATATGTACCTAGTTTCATTTGTTTAGATTCACTTTTTCTTTATAGTGTGCTTTAAAATATTCTTTCAGTATGTTGGCATCTTGCCCAAGAAATTGCTGGTTTTTTCTATGGCCTATGTGGGTGGAGACCATGGGATTTCCCTTTTTATGACTTATGTGAGTTAAAAATGACCCCCATGAATGTGAGGACCAACTCAGTGGAAGCAGGATGGTGTGGAGGTTCACGGGCCTCTGTTTGACTTCTTGCAGACAGCATCTTCCATGGGAATGAAGAAGCCTTGTATTGCAACTCACACAACAGCCTGGACTTAAGTTATTTAAATGGCACCGTCACCAATGGCGGCAGCGTGTGTAGTGTTCACAGCGTCAACTCCCTCAGCTGCTCCCAAAGCTTCATCCAGGCTTCTCCTGTCTCCTCCAACCTCAGCATCCCCGGGAGTGACATCATGCGGGCGGACTACATCCCCAGCCACCGGCATAGCGCCATCATCGTACCATCCTACCGGCCCACGCCCGATTACGAGACGGTCATGCGGCAGATGAAGAGGGGCATCATGCACACGGACAGCCAGAGCCAGTCCCTGCGAAACCTCAACATCATCAACACCCACGCCTACAACCAGCCAGAGGACCTGGTATACAGCCAGCCCGAGATGCGGGAGAGGCACCCCTACACGATCCCTTACGGGCCCCAGGGGGGCTACGCGAACAAACTGGTCTGCCCGTCAGACCAGCTCAACCCCACGAATACCACAGTGCCGAGCCAGCCGGGGGGAGCCACTGCCATCTCCCACACGGTGAGCACCCCGGAGCTGGCCAACATGCAGCTGCAGGGCGCCCATAGCTACAACGCGGCCCACGTGCTCAGAAACTATCTCTTCCGGCCGCCGCCCCCCTACCCCCGGCCCCGGCCGGCCACCAGCACGCCGGACCTTGCCAGCCACCGACACAAGTACGTCAGCGGCAGCAGCCCCGACCTGGTGACCCGCAAGGTTCAGCTGTCCGTGAAGACCTTCCAGGAGGACAGCTCCCCGGTGGTGCACCAGTCTCTGCAGGAGGTGAGCGAGCCCCTCACGGCCACCAAGCACCACGGCGCGGTGCACAAGCGTCACAGCCTGGAGGCGATGAGCAGCATCGTGAGGGGCATGGAAGCCATGACCCTAAAGTCGCTCAACATCCCCATGGCCCGCCGCAACACCCTCCGGGAGCCGGGGCCTCCCGAGGAGGGCCCTCGCAGCCACGAGGTCCCCCAGCTCCCCCAGTACCACCACAAGAAGACTTTCTCGGATGCCACCATGCTGATCCACAGCAGCGAGAGCGAGGAGGACGAGGAGGAGGCTCCCGACCCGGTGCCCCAGATCCCCGTGCTCCGGGAGAAGGTGGAGTACAGTGCCCAGCTCCAGGCCGCCTTGGCCCGGATTCCAAACAAGCCCCCACCCGAGTACCCCGGGCCCCGGAAAAGCGTGAGCAACGGGGCGCTGCGGCAGGACCAGGCGTGCCTGCCTCCTGCTGTGGCCCGGGCCAGGCTGCTGCGGCACGGGCCCGCCAAGGCCATCAGCGTCTCCCGGGCCGACCAGCTGGCCGTCAACGGGGCCTCTCTCGGGCCATCCATCTCGGAGCCCGACCTGACGAGCGTGAAGGAGCGGGTCAAGAAAGAGCCTGTCAAGGAGAGACCTGTGTCCGAAATGTTTTCCCTGGAGGACAGCATTATAGAAAGAGAGATGATGATTCGGGTAAGTGGCCGCCTCTCCCGGGGGTATCTTTGGAGGGATGGTTAAAGGGGCTGGTCCCCCAACCCAGAGCACCCTCCCTGCTCCTTTTGGGTGATTCAGGCACACCTCCCTCCTCTGGGCACGGAAGAAAGCGCGAGGCTTATCAGGGAACCTGGGAGGATTTAAACATGTGATAGGATTTAAAAGTCACTTGCATTTTAAACAGGTAGGATTTCATTTCACAAAACTTTGTTTTTTGCTCCTTTCATCCTCATTCACGGCTTCTCATAGGCCTGCTTGGGGCAAAATGCTGTGACAAAGTTAGGATCTTACAGGTATGTGGTATTGAGATCAGTGTTTGAGCCAGCATTTTGGTGAATATATTCAGGGTCAGATTTCCCATTGCCTGAGCTGCCAGGAGCTCACCTTCCTCCATCTCCTGGCATTTTGTTTTTTTTCTGGGGAAAGCAGTTTTTCCCCAGTTAAATATTAAAAGAGCAGCCTCCCTTCAAAGGGCAGCTTTCTGTGTAGACCTGGATGTCAGGATTGCTCATCAGTGTTGACCATGATGTGTCCAGTTCATTTTCGGATTTTCTTTCAATAGATGGTCAGCACAAATCTATGAAAATTACAGTAAACTCAGAAGTGTACAGTTGAGTTTGAATTCACCATTGAGCTTACTCCATCAAGAACTCACACATTTATACACTCAATGCACACACGTGTAACATTTGAGGATGCCTAATATTAGACATAAGTCACTCTTCTTCAGTATGTTTCCTCTGGAAGCTTAGTTATGTTGCCAGAGCAAAAGTATACAGTAACAGTTGCATACCTAGAGCAACAAAGTGAATTACATCTTACTAATGAGAAAATTGCTGGATCGTATTTGCTACTTTACAGAATGTTTTATAATACCATTGCTACTCCTCCTGGAGATGTTCACTCCCTTAAAAAAAAAATCCTGTCATTATAACTACTCAAACCCAGATGGACTTCTCCTCTGCATGTACCACATCTGGGTGATAAGGTAGCCAGCACTTCTTTTAGGAACTCCAGCGCAGTTGTAACTTATATTTTGCTTTGAGGGAATTCATCAGACTTTCTTCATGTATAAGTCTCCCCGATTCTGCAGTGGGAATCAACTTGTAAAGAATAGTAAAGAGCCAAAGTTTTAAGAAAGCCAAGTCCCTGGGTTTAGGAGTCTAATCCATAGCAACGTTCCGGCTTTAGACAAACCTCAAGAACATTCTCAGCCTCACAGTTTTAGCCATCCATGGAGTATTACTAGGAATTTGGTACAGACATAACTTTTTCCACTTTTCGCAAACTTGGAGGGAAATTGTGAAAGATGTGCTTGTGCCTGTGGCAAATAAAACTGTTTGGCTGGGGGATGGAATGAAGTGCGGAGGTGGGTGCCTTGGGGAGAGCTTTCCACGTTTGGGAAAAATAATCATTGGTAGAAAGGGAGTTTCAGCACTTCTGGGCCTCAGGCCCCTTTCACACAACTCAGCATCAAGAACTCATCAGTGCAAGCATTTGGTGTTGCCATTTCCCTTGCTGACTGGCTGTTTATTACCACCTACATGGTTGCCTAGCTTCACTTTGGTTGTATTCATCCCCTTGTTACCTATATTAAACAAAAGCCTGGAGCTGATGCTTATGGCCCTGATTCCTCATATAGAGCTTCATGCATTATCACAGAGCAAACAAAGGCCTTTCTCACTGTTCATCCACGTGTCCTCCCATCCCATCCATTGGGTAATAGTGAATAGCTGATTTTACCTCTTAACTAGTTCAGTAACATCATTACCCCAGCCCTATGTCATTTTCCCTAATTTTTTTTTAAAGTGTACCTTTTATAAAAAAAAAATTGTTTTTTGGCCACACTGTAGAGCATGTGGGATCTTAGTCCTTGACCAAGGATTGAATCATGCCTCCCACATTTTAAGGACAAAATCTTAAGTACTGGACCGCTAGGGAAATCCCTTCCCTGATTTCTCCCCAAATCCTACATACTTGTGAGCTCAAGGGCAGCCACCCTTGGTTGTGGTCCCGACCTCAGAGGAGGACTCAGAAGGTCTTTGGTGAGCCAGGCAAGATGGTGACCTGAGTCCTAGCACTGGAGCTTGGGATGGATCTCCCTGGTCTTTCTGAAGAAACTCACCCCAGTGACCTCCCCACATCTCAGGTGCCTTACTCTGGTCCCCATCATGAGTAGATTTTGCCTGGCTTGTTAGGCATAGCTAAGAGAAGGCTGTCAAGGCCTTCCTAGAAGAGAAAACCAAATAGGAACTGGAAGCAGACAGCTATGGTGAGAATTTGCCCTGCAGGCAACCCTCTCTCTCCCTTTCTGGAGTTGCTGGTCCCCTTGATGGATCGTTTAGGCCTATGGTGTGGATAGCGCCTCCTGCGTGCCTCCTGCTGCTGCTTCGAAGGCATTTCACTGTCTGCAGTTAAATCTTTGAGTTCATTATTTTTGATCTCCAGTAATAAGCGGATAGGATAAATGAGGAGGAGCTAAGAGAAATAGTTTATCATTGGGGTTTCAGTGTTCCCTGGGTAGTAATCCTTTCCCAAGAAAGTCAAATGAGTCGCTTTTTGTTTTGGGTCCAGTTGGGGTCGCCTTATGGTGCAGGTGGGAAGGAAGCAGAAGGACTGTCAGAAGGATCTGAGGACCATTTACCAAAAAATAAAAAAGAGAAGAATCATTGCTCTCTCAAAATTTTGCAGAGGAGTGAAACATTCTCAACTAAAAGAGATAGCAGCAGGCAGGGAGGAAATTCTTCCTTAGAAAGACAAACTAGTAAGTAAGTAAACCAACAAAACTCCCCAAATTTAAATCCTGAATGTTCAAAGTCTGCCCAGGGTTGAGAAACCAGGATCATTTTTAAGGATAGAATATGTTTTGGCCCTTTCTCACTTTCCCACAGTTAATCCTCCTCGGAGATGCTCCTTCGGTTTATCTGATGGGTTAGCCCTGTTACGGGACCCAGCATCTTACCGACAGCATCAGTCACAAAGGCCAGGGCGCCACGCTTCTTTTTTTTAATTGAAGTATAGTTGATGTGCAGTGTGTTCCCTGGTGGCGCAGGTGGTAAAGAATCCGCCTGCAACTCAGGAGACCTGGGTTCGATCCCTGGGGCAGGAAGATCCCCTGGAGAAGGGAATGGCTACCCAATCCAGTATTCTTGCCTGGAGAATTCAATGAACAGAGGAGCCTGGCAGGCCACAGTCCATGGGATCAGAAAGAGTTGGACACGACTGAATCAACACGCACAACAGGTGTTCTATCCTCTACCAATACCATAGCTCCACAAGACACTTCTCCAGAAAGTAAATTTCTAAAGGACAGACTAAGGACAAAATACCTGAAGGTTTGAAAAACAAAACAAAACAAAACACGGAGTAAGATCACTCCTTCATCTGTGGCAACCAAAGGGACCTGCAAACTGTGGATGAAAATTGTAAACTCTGTAAAACTCATCTGTTTCTGTGCTTTATACAGTCCCTCTGTCCTTTGGTCTTCTAAGACAAAACTATTGGGTGGAAAATGCTCCTGTTTTGCCTGAAGTGATCAACTGGAGATTGGTTCACACCCCAGTCATCATAGAGGAAGTGGGGAAGCACAGCTGTAGGCAAAATAACAGGGGCCCAACAGTTTCAGAGTGTCTGTGCAGGTGAGCACAGAGAGGAGTCACGAAGTCATAAGCAAGGGCCGAGTGCGGCCTGCGTGGCCCCCAGGTCGTGCTCTCCCAGGTGTAGTCACAGCCAGTGGGGCCCCGCTGTGGTCACTGGGAGCCACGGCTTCCATTCCTGCGAGTCTTCTGGGTAAAGCATGAAGCGTCCTGCCCGGGGGTCATCTCGGGTGGTTCCAGGCTGTGGTATTAGCGCGTGTGTTAAACTACATCAGCTCTGTTTCTGGGGATAATATCCCAGGGACCAGAGAGATTCAATATAGAGTTAACACCTCAGTCCTAGCCCCTCTGAGTGGGAACTTGGGAAGGAAGTTTTTTCTCTACCTCTGTATGTATCCATCCTCTTATCAATGGGACAGTTTTTCTGCTATGTCCTTCTGCTTCTCAATATATTCGTTCTGATTTTTGAGAGTTTGATGTTGAAACTCCAATTAAAAATCTTTAATTTTGCCACTTAAAAAATAACGGTAATATATAGTGGAACTGTATATAACCTTGTTCTGTTTTCCATGTTTCCTATAAATGTGTTCTCAGACTTTCATAATTTAAAAAATAAAAATCTAAAAAAAGAATGCAGCAGTTTTTATAAGCTTTTTACCATTTAATCTGCATAAAAGGTCCATCGTTGTGACTAGCTCTGATTATTCATGAATCTCTGTTTCTTTTTTCTTTGTCCTGTCTTCCTTCAGTGTCTTCCTAATGCATGCTCTTTTTGTGAGCCCTGCGGCAGGGTGTAGAGTCTCTGCTCTTGTCTATTTGTTTCTTTACTCCATTTTTAAAGAAACGCTCAGGAGGCCCAGCGGAGCCGGCTTCCTCGGGCGCAGTGGGAATGAAGGGGAAGGCTGTGTTTGAATTTGCCCTGCTAATGGTAATTGTCTGCATTCCTTGGCTGGGGAGTTATAGATTTGGGGAGATTAAAACACATTCCAGCATTCTCCTGGTATTACAAACAATGAGAACATGCCTTTTCTTGCCGCAAGAATCTAGAAAAGCAGAAGATGGCAGGCCTGGAGGCGCAGAAGAGGCCACTGATGTTGGCAGCCTTGAACGGACTCTCAGTTGCTCGGGGCTCCGGGCGGGAGGAGAGCCGCGTGGACGCCACCCGAGTACCCGTGGACGAGAGGGTAAGCACTGGGCTCTTCAAACGCGTGGCTCCTTCTCTGTGGTCTTAGGATTCTGATGCTCTCTGCTCGCCCAGACACGCCAGCACGAAGGTGTGTCTGACGAATTCATTCTCCAGCTTGAAGATGAGCGCGACCTGGATTGTGCTGCATTAGACTGATCCCTTCCAATATCTCTTGTTTCTTGGTCAGGCTGGTTCAGTGATGACGCCTAGAGACGCCAGCCCTGGCCTCTTGTCTGTGTAGCCTCCGTCAACCCACATTTCTCTGGGCCTGTTTTTTTGTTTTGCAGAGTGAAGAGGTTAAGCCCTTGCCCTAGTGCTCAACTTCTGTGATTTTTGTGAACAAGTACCCTTTATTAGGGAGGAATTATTTTACCCAAGCACTTACAGAATTCTTTAATATGCTGGCCCCTTGCTAGGAGCATCCCAGGTGGCGCTAGTGGTAAAGAATCTGCCTGCCAATGCAGGAGATGCTAGAGACGCAGGTTTGATCCCTGGGTGGGGAAGATCCCCTGGAGTAGGAAGTGGCAACCCACTCCATGATTCTTGCCTGGAAAATTCCATGGACTGAGTGAGGATCCCGATGAGCTATATTCCATGGGACCGCGAAGAGTCGGACATGACTGAGCAGCTGGGCACATGCTTGGCTATAGAGTATGACTGACATATAATTGTTAGGGTAATGCATTGTGAGAACTTTGGTTTTGAAAAGCAAAGAAAGTTGCATGGTAGTGTTTCAGAGGTGAACAAACATGCTCCTGTAGTCCCTGAAATTGCTGTCAGGTTAAAAAACAGGTTGTGTAAATGTAATAGAGTGCCAATAAGATTAGGGTTTTAGGTTTTGCCGGCATATATGAAGTATTAGCATGCTCTGAGAGCCAGAAGTATCTTACTTTTTTTTTTTTTTTTTTGCCACACCACATGGCATATTCCCTGACCAGAGATCAAAAACTATGACCCCTGCATTTGAAGCATAGAGTCTTAACCACCGGACCCCCAGGGAGGTTCCTAGAAGGGTCTTTTGAGGCATCATTTAATCCAGTTAATACCATGTTATTGTAATTAGTATTTTGGTCATGGGAAAAATAAAAGAGGGGGGTGTCTAATCCACATGACTAGAGAACTGTGGATCAGTGTCACCTTAAAATTTAGCTAAAAACAATTACATAAGTGGAGAAAAGGATTTTTTTGATAACTAAGGTTTAAAAATTTTATCACTAGAACTTGAAACAGCAGGTGGCTTAGAGGTAAAGAATCCTCCTGCCGAGGAGACATGGGTTGAATCCCTGGGCTGGAAGATCCCCTGAAGGAGGAAATGGCAGCCCACTCCAGTATTCTTGCCTGGGAAATCCTGTGGACAGAGGAGCTTGGCCGGCTACAGTCCATGGGGCCACAAAGAGTTGGACACAGCTGAGCGACAGAGCATGAATACACATTAATAACAAAATGCTAATTTTGAATTTCAGCTCTTGCCTAGTCTGGCAGATTTGTGCTGTTTAAGGTATGAGCGAGGAGGCAATTGGTTATTAGACAAGAGAAACGTTCAATATGGTGAATGAATGAGACCGAATAATCAAGTTTTGATTGTCCATCTTGAAACTACTGATTAACACCCTCGCTGTAAATATTTTGAGAAATCTGGTGGTTTTGTCAGAGTGTTTGGATCAGATTATTCAGAGAGCTGAAGATCACCTTCTGTTGCAGTTCAGAACCCTGAAGAAGAAGCTCGAAGAGGGAATGGTGTTCACAGAATATGAGCAAATTCCAAAGAAAAAGGCAAATGGCATTTTCAGCACAGCGGCTCTGCCAGAAAATGCTGAGCGCAGCCGAATCCGCGAGGTGGTTCCCTATGAGGAGAACCGCGTAGAGCTAATACCAACCAAAGAAAATAACACAGGCTACATTAACGCCTCCCACATCAAGGTAAGAAGGGGGGCGTGTTGGGAAGGCTGGTCGAAGATTGCTGGGTTAACGGTAAAAACGCAGGAGGAGAAAACAGGCAGGCTGCCACTGCGCAACTTGGCTGGTCCCCAAACCCCGAGGGAGTGTTTCTGAACTCTTGGAGTTCTTAGTCAACTCGAAGGCCATGCCTAACGCTGCAGAGAGAAGGAAGTCCAGTGGCCTCAGGGAAAACCTCAGGTCAGCTATTTCTGAAGCTTGATTGTGTCGGAGGATTTAACTTTTTCTTGTCTCTGTAAGGGGTAACTTTTCAGGAAACTCACAGGTCAAGCTGAGGGTTGTCCCTTTCAGTTTGTGATTTGCAGGCGATGGAGGCTGTGGAAATTACAGGCGCTGTATTTCTGTCACTGGAGTTTTTATGATGGTCAAGAGTGACAGAGAGTTGTCATTTCTCACTTGTGATACTGGTTATGCGTTTTATAGCTGAAGTCCCAACTTTGTATGATATTCACAAGAGTGGACTAATTTAACCATCAACCATAATGGTGACGTTGATAATAAATTTTACAAGGTTTGCCAACGTTATTCAATGTATTTGAGTCATTACATTTTTGTTAACTAGTTCGAATACTCCAAATCTTCATATCTCAGTATTTCATAGACTTAAAGTTAGTCAGCTTAGCTTTACCTCAGTTAGAATTTAGAGTTATAGATACATATGTGCATGCAAACAAGTTTTCCCTAAATAGCTTAATTTCACCAGGGCCCCTAATGACAGAGCATATTTGTTTTAGATTGTCACCATTTGCCCTGGCCTCCAAACTAGGGGAATTATTCTTATACTAATGTGAAATGTATCCGGGTAACTCTTACAACTGTTACAGGATGATTTTCAACAATACAAGGTTCACATTAGTAGTCTGTTGTGGTCAATAACTTTAGAAACCTACCTCTGGCATTATTTCCTTTCTTCACTGAAATTTTCAACTGTAGCCAAATCACAGGTAGGTTCCTTTGAGCCTCTAAAATACAGCCAGTTGTTGGCCTGTGTATCAGTTCAAACAGCTTTGATGCAGAATGTGGAAACTGTAGCACTGTTGGTATAGTGTTTCTGTTCACTGAGCATAGAGAACCACATATTTTTCTACTGGAATATAATTGCTTTATAATGTGTGAGTTTCTGCTGTCCAACCCTGTGGATCAGCCATATGTGTACATATATCCCCTCTCTCAAGCCACCCTCCCATTCCACTCTTCTAGGTCATCATAGAGTTTTGTGGGTTTTTTTGAATGTCAGAAAGTCCTGTCCAAAGAAATAGGATGGCATAACTCTCATGGATCATAATTGTGTATTTTGCTCATATTTTTGAGAGTGACAACTCTCAAAACAATGATAATGCAATAAAAAACAATGAATAAACTAAAACAATTAAAAACAAAAAAACCTGAGCCCCATAGAACTCTGAAGGAAGCTGACAGTGGTGAATTTCCTGGGCTGAATTTAGACAACAAAACAATGACCGAAAAAATGGACTCAAAGATGCGGATCGCACAGCTGCTTCTTGCTAGAGTATCTCTGAAAATCTTCCACAGCTGTAATATACTATCTTCTTTTGGCCAAATTGCCCTCCCGTTTTCCATCTACCCTCTGGAAAAAGCTGTCAGTCTGCATGGGCTGTGCCCATCGGGCGTTGTTAACAGAAACGTGCCTTCCTCCGTATTCTCCAAGGCCCACATTTCATCTTGTGGATCTGGGTTAGACATGGGTGCGTTTAATAGACCCAGACAGCTTGCAGGAACTTGTCCTTGTTTTTTGGAATATAGTTGTATATCTTGCCAGTGTTTCCTCCCTGGATGCCAAGCAGCCATTAACACAGAACAGAGATTTATTTGCTCCAGAGGTGGAATCACATCTGTGAAACCTACCTCAGTAGCATTGGCGGTTGTGTTTTTAATGCAGCTTTTAATACCCTCCTGTCAATACTTGGGAATATGCTGAAAGGCCCCAGGCAGCAGCATACTCTGGAAGTATTTATGGCTCCTATATGTTGGGTGCCAGAGAGGATAATGTTTAAAAGCATGATTCCACAGATAAGCCAAATTCCTAGCCAGCCAGCAAATACATGAGTGTCATCTCCCATCAGTACTCAGAAAATGGATTTTGCTTGCCAGCATTGACCTAAGCATGTCTTGTGTAATGAGATAAAAACTGACATGGTTTTTGCCTGAATCAAGTTAGTATATAGTTTCATAAAACAAATGAAAGAAAAAGTTGCAAACAGTGATCACTTCATTACCCCTAAAGCTATCTTGAGATCCACATCAGTGAATGTGTAAGGAAGCCTGACTTGGCAATATCAAGGCATAGAAATGAAGGGATACCCAGAAAGAGTCCCTCCAAAGGCCCCCGTTTTCCTGTGCTAGCATCACCTCCCACACTTGGGGCATGCCTTTTTATTGATAAGTCTCCACTGCTGAGATTTACTGCTGCAGAATTATCCTCCAAATGTGGGCTTTAAAAGTATTCACAACCTAAAAGTTGAGAGTTATGCTTTATTTGGTGGGGATTTTTCAGGATTTAAAGCCAAGGAGACAGCATCTCAAGTGAACCTGAGAGAATTGTTCCCTGGGGGTGAGGGGAGGAGCCAGGTTATATAGAAGTTTTGCAACAAAGGGCGGGTAGTCAGAACATCAAAAGATTATTATTATTATTTTTTTAAGATTATTGTTAATTAAAGAAAACCGGATAACCCAAGTTAAGGAATTTAGCACTTCTCTGTGTATGGGAAGATGCAAGAGTCTGGGCTCACTGAAATCATTCCTTCGATACGCACCTAGGCTATCTGGGGCCAGCATGGTCTTTTTACCACCTGAATTCCCTGGGGGCTCACCATGGGGAGTGGCTGCTAGAGGGCAGGTGTTCTTTCCTTCCTGGGTCCGCTCAGGGCTCACCAGCTGACCATCCGTGCTGGTGGTGACTGTGATATCCTTTGTTTACTGATATGGCAGGAAATACTCCATTTCTCACTAAGGTCACCCTGAGCTGTGTAGGGTGATGATTTTATTATCCAAAATCATCTCAGGATTCCAGAGTTCAGTTGGACACTATGATACTGCTAAAGGGGAAGGTGGTGATGAAATATCGAGTACTGTTGGCTTCTGTGCATTCATAACACCTTTCCTGTATAAGGTACAGAGCAGCAGGTAGAACAGAGGTCTGCACACACGTCCTATCAGCAGTGGTAGAAGGACATTGGTATTCCAAAGGCGTGTTATGCCATGGTAGACTTTTCTGTTATTTAAAAGGATGCCACAGAGTACTGTTTCTCAGACCATGGACCACAATATGGTAGTGGGGTATGAAACCAATTTAGTAAAAAAGAGTTTGTGGGGTTTTTTTGTGAGTTTTTTTTTTTTTGGCTTTTTTTTTTTTCTCATGGATAGACTATAAAGGAGAAAAGAATGGTAGTTATCAATACATTGCATATTGGAAACATAACTATTATGTCTGTAAAAATTGTTAGATTATACACATATATATTCATATAATATTATACATGTGGATATATATATGTATGTGTGTGTGTATGTGTGTGTTTTTAGTATGCACTGATTTGTACATAATTACTGTGGGTTGAAGACCAAAACCCATGAGGTATATTTTGATAAGCTTGAGTGACATAATGTTTTCATGTGAAACTGTGTCGCTAGTCACTCCTGGTCTCAGGGCTGTTGATAATGGCACTAGCACAGTGGACCTAAAAATGTTCTCCAAGGTTTTCCGGTGGCTGCAGAAGGACCTGTGGTCAGCATGGAATTCTGTCCTGGAGTTGGGGTTCATTCACTGATGCTTCCCTTGGCTTCCAGGTGGTGGTCGGTGGGGCAGAATGGCACTACATCGCCACTCAGGGACCCCTGCCACACACATGCCACGACTTCTGGCAGATGGTGTGGGAGCAGGGCGCGAACGTGATCGCCATGGTCACTGCGGAGGAGGTAAGGGCAATGGGCACCCCGCCATCCGTCCCCGGGCGGGGAGTGGCCAGAAGGCGAGCCTTGTGTCGGCGACTCCACCGCGCTGTCCTCTTTCCGGCACCGCTTCTCTGCAAATCCTTTTCTCTCTGGCGCGCCTCTCTTTTCTCTCCTATTTCTATATGGGTTTGTTTGGCTTTCCAAAGATGATTTATTGTCAGGTCCCATTTTGATCCAGCTTTTAACTCTTTTCCTTGAATCGCCATGTACTACAATTAAACAAACAAACAAACAAGAAAGAACCGGACTTCAGTCCAGCCAGCTCACTTTTGGTGTGCCCAACAAAGCGATGGTCTTTCCATTGGAGTCTGGGAACTTTGGGGGAGCTCCTAGTAACTCGGCATATATTCCCAAACCCGGGGCATGGCAGCTCACAGGCTCTCCTGTTTATCAGCTGAAAAGAGACCAGAAGCTGTTATTTCTGTAGAGGAGGCCTCTATTCTTTGAGGAGAGAGGAAAAAAAAACTTTTTCTTCCTTTGCCAAGTCAAACATAGTTTTTCCATTGTAACTGAAGAAATCTATGTGGTGTTGCCAAAACTGGCATATACCCCCAGTCCATCTAGCAATTCACTCAGAGCCTGTTGTCTTTAGGGAAAGATATTTTGTGTTTCTTCTCTTGTCTCAGTCTAAATTTTTTTTGTTTTAAACCACTTCCTTTGGTTCCCTCCATTAAATTTTACCTTATGTTTTGAAGTCATTTAAGGGTTAGGCTTCATCTGGGTGTTTGGGTTTTTTTTTTAAACCATGTATCACATGCTTCCCTGGTGGTTCAGATGGTAAAGAATCCGCCTGCCCTGTTGGAGACCTGGGTTCGATTCCTGGGTTGGGAAGATCCCCAGGGGGAGGGCATGCAGTCCACTCCAGTATTCTTACCTGGAGAATCCCATGGACAGAGAAGCCTGGTAGGCTACAATTCATGGGGTCGCAAAGAGTCAGACATGACTGACTTAAGCACATCACAGCATGTTATTGTATACCCATTTCCTAACAAGTTTTAAAGGATAGGAAACAGAAAGAAGTGAAAAACGAGTCATATTCCTTTTATTGACTCTTCTGAGCAGATGCTTTCTAGAACAGCCCATTAGAAGGTAGTGATGAAAGGACTTTGGGCCCTTTCAGGCCAGCTGTATTTCTCTAGGCTGACCTTCTGTCCCCTCAGGGAGTAAATGCTCCTTAAAGCCTCTAGTTTTATCACCCTATTGAATTACATCCCTAGAAGGGATTCATTCCATTGAAAACAATGTCCTTGCCCTCTGTGCTGACCCCAGGGAGGGACAAGGTGGTAAACACAGCAGGTATGCTCCTTGTCCCCAGGGAGCTTACATCCTAGTGGGATTTACCATGAAAAGGGAATCAGTAAAGTCAGCTCAGATAGTGGTGAGTGGTGACCGCGGGACTACTTTAGGTTAGATGGCAGCCCAGGGCCCTCTGAGGAGGCTGTGTTTGAGCTGAAACTTGAGTGACAGGAAGCCTTAGGAACAAAGTCCAGTGATCTCTGAAGCAGCCAGAGGCTTACAGTCTCTTGAAATCTGCAATTGATGTAGGTTGCTGGTGCTGAGTTGTGTTGGACTCTTTGCAACCCCCAGGTTCCTCTGGCCATGGGATTTCCAGGCAAGAATACTGGAGCAGGTTGCCATTTCCTTCTCCAAGTTGATGTGGGTACTCAGCAAGTTATGTAAAGGCCTCCGATAAATGCTCTTTCACAGAATGTTTCAATAAAAGAGGCAGGTATGCTTCAAATTTAAGAAGACTCAATTCAACCAAAAGAGTGAGGGCAGGACTACTTGGGTCCCTGAAGATGTGTTGCTTTGTGAGCAGACCAACCACCACCTGCGGCTCACTCCCCCCTGCCCTGTATTCTGGGCCTCTCCCCTCTCTCTCCACCCACTTCCTGCCCTAGGTACCCTTCTTTATTTTTATTTTTAAAAATTTTTCATTAAAAAAATTTTTTTTGGCTGCACCATGTGTCATGAAGGATCTTAGTTCCTGGACCAGGGATCAGACCTGTTCCTCCTGCATTGAAAGCACCGAGTCTTAACCACTGGACCACCAGGAAAGTCGCCTGGGTCCCCTTGTAAGCCAACATCTCATCCGCCCCTGCTCCCACCCCTGTGATGTCAAAATTCTGCAAAACTTTAAAACAGACCCTGTTTTTGTAAATGGCTGAGAATGCATATCCCCAGAAAAGATGATAAAATTAAGAGAGAGCAAACAGGGGTAGAGTCAGTTTTCCCCTCTGCTTCAGTTGCAATGGGACTAAAACAACTGAATCAGGATGGGGGATAAAAAAGGAGATTGACACCAGATGATAGAGGCAGTGTCACTGGTTGGTGGGGATAACAGAGAATAGTACCTGGGGTCAGGCATATGAAATGAGAAGCATGACCTAGAATGGGAGCTTCCCAGGTGGCGCTAGTGGTAAAGAATCCACCTGCCAGTTCAGGCGACATAAGAGCCATGGGTTCAATCCCTGGGTCAGGAAGATCCCCTGGAGAAGGGCATGGCAACCCACTCCAATATTGTTGCCTGGAGAATCCCATGGACAGAGGAGCCTGGCGGGCTCCGGCCCATAGGGTCACAAAGAGTTGGACATGAGTGAAGTGACTTAGAATGATGACTGAGATCTCTCACTCCTCTGCTTAAGGTCACTTCATCACCTTCGGATGGCTTCCCACTGTCCATGGCATCAAATCCCTACTCCCTACCATGGACCGCAAGGCCTTTCTAACTAACCTCCTCTCTGCCATCCACACTGAAGCCTTCCTGCACTTCTCACAGTACCCAGCTTGTTCGTATCTCTGGCTCGTCCTTACTCTGGCTCCTCTCTCTAACATTCAGCTGCAGCTGGGTTGGGAGTCTTTAAGTTTTTCCATTGATATAACTGCATGGTACATCTTATTACTGTCCTTAGCTAAAATGTGTGAAATCTGCTCTGTAGGAGACACTGCATGATGTTACTGAGTCAGTGACTTAGAAGTCATTCAGGTTTTCTGCAGTCCCAGATTTTAAAACTAAGAGGACAAGAGCTTCCCTTGACTCCTGTCCAATTTTGTTTCTCTGTGTGATTCAGGAAGGCGGACGAACCAAGAGCCACCGATACTGGCCCAAACTGGGTTCCAAGCACAGCTCAGCCACCTATGGCAAGTTCAAGGTCACCACAAAGTTCCGAACAGATTCCGGTTGCTATGCAACCACAGGCTTGAAGGTCAAGCACCTTCTGTCCGGGCAAGAAAGGACCGTGTGGCATTTGCAATATACTGACTGGCCAGACCACGGCTGCCCAGAGGATGTCCAAGGATTTCTGTGTAAGTTTTTGCTTGTCAGTTGGAGTTTTACCAACAGCATATATGGTTTTATCAGTTGGAGGTGAAGTGAAAAGAGAGGATACTTTCTCTTAGGTGGTGAAAGTATTGTAACATTGAAGTATATAGTACTTTAGATAGTATGTGTAGAACAGAGAAGATTAATACTTACATTCTCTTTACCATTGATGCAGTGAGCTAAAGGTAAACTAATTGGTTCTATCTTGATTTAGACCTTCAGCACCTATCCTGATACACATTGCATCCTTGAACCTTGGAAACATTATGCTAAATAAAATAAGCCAGATACAAAAGGATAAATGCTGTATGATTCCACTTATGTTGAGTTACCCAGAATAGGCAACTTCATAGAGATAGTATAATAGAGGTTACCAGGAGCTAGAGGGAAGAGGAATAGGAAGTTATAGTTTGATAGATACAAAGTTTCTGTTTGGGACCACAGAAAAGTTCTCTAAGTGGATAGTGGCGATGTTTGCAGAACACTGTGATTATACTTACTGTCACTGTATACTTAATGTTATGTACTTTTAGAATGATTAAAATGGTACATTTTATGTTATGCATTAAATATATTTTACCACAATAAAAAAACACAGAGCAATAAAGTAAAGGAAAAAAAAAAGACTTTAAAAATTTCTCAGGAAGATTTATATCTCAGAAGCCCTGAATTTCCTCCAGCAGTAAATCCCCATCAGTAGTTTCTCATACCTATGATTAAAGATAGGGGGCTAACTAATAGAGAATTATTGAAATAAACCTGTAGTGTTTGAAACTGTCATTTTCAAATTCATTCATTTATGTATATTTTTCAAGTTATGATCATCTTAGAAACAAATTCATCCAGATTGTATGCAGTAGCTATTTGAAAGGCCAACAACCGGGTGTGTGTCCACCATATGCCAGACACTGAATCAGGCTCTTAGCATGCAGAGATGAAACAGTCTTTGTTTTAAAGGCTCTCTCACTCTTCTGATGAAGGCAAGCCCGGGATCACAGGCCGGGGTGAGATCTGATGCTTCTGGTGCTAGCTGTAGCACACTCTTTCCTTTCCACAGACTTTCCTAAACATCCTGCACTTGTGGGAAAGCCCACTGCTTCCTCCTTCCAGCTAGAAAGGAGGCCTGAGGGTGCCCTGCAGATTACTGATTATATACCTGCTGAGTTGTTGATTTACCAGCTGGCAGAGGACCCCTGACCACCACAAAGGGAGGATGTTGAATGTCAAAACCTTGATTTTCATTTTGATAACTCATTTAGAATAGGAGGGATGGGGAAGAGAAGCAAGAATAAGTTTTCAAAAACCTAAAAGTACAATTTCACAAGTCCAACTAGAAAGATTATGATGCAGGTATTTAATTTCCCATTAATGTGCTGATGGTTCTTGAGGAGTTGGGACACTGAAAGTAAGAAAGATGATTGGACTTAGAGGACCTAGAACAAGATCTGGAGTGGGTTAGTGGTTTGCCTGAGGCCCGACAGTTACCTATAGCCCAAAATATTAATAAGGAGCATGGTGACCTCTGCAGAATTTTCTTTCTTTGTAACAGTGTGCTTTTTATTCTTTTTTGGTAATCTTTTGCTAATTGCTACTAGAAGCAAGACTTAGAAATTGGAAGCAATAAAAGTAAATCCATCAGATGATTGACTTAACAGCTCTGATAAAAGATTGAGTTTATAAGATGGCTAAAATCACAATCAGATCTTTTAAATCTGAGCCAGTTTAAGAAAGGTGAATCTAAATTACTGAAAAAAAAAATAGAGAAAAATTTTAAATAGTATTAATTAATGTACCTTTCTAAGAAACTCAGGACAGGTGTGCTGAGCAGGGTCTTAGAAATGATGGCTCTTTAGGTCATTAAGAAATTTAAGAGATTTTTGTTTGTGTTTAAATTAGATTGCCTGGATGCAGAGGAACTGGATCAAACTGTCTTCCAGCGTCCAGAGGTCTTCACTGAGTTACAGCTTAAGAAACTTTATTAATATGATTGCTGGAGAAAGAATTCATTGAAATCTAATTTCTCCGTGTTTCATGACATTCCATTTGATAGTGGCATCTGTTTTATTGATCAGTATTCTTTTCACTTCTCTCCTTAAATTTAACACAAGAAAAACCTTGTCTCTTGTATGTGAACATTGTCTGCCATCAGAGAACGTTTATCGCCTAATATCTCTGGGGGGAAAAATTGTGAAGGGGATTCCATGCTCAGTATTTAGCTCATGTTGGTACAAATAGCGACTACTTTATGTAGTCACCTCAGATTGCCTTCCATCTTGTTTTGTTCTATCTCATTTTACATCACTGATGGTGGTAGTAAACATTCATTTGGGTAAAACTACTTCAGATTACTAATTAAATAAGGTTATAAAGGAAAACAGGAGTTCTCAGTCATTGTGTATAAACTGGTGCTCTTACATTATCAGAATGGTTTGAATGCAGTTTTTTTCTCTTTAGCAGTCTGAATTTTTCTCCTCGTTTGATTTTACACTGCTGCACTGGAACGAGATTTTCTGAGCATCAAGAACCTTCAAATCTGCTTCTTCCCTGAACTATAAAATCTCAACTACTAATTGATTTTTTCTGATTCATAGAGTGTATGAGGATTGCAATTATTCCTTTCCCTTTTTTTGTGATCATGAAAAAAAAGTCTTTAAGGTTTAGATTGACTAATTTTTCATTTGTGACCAATTGGAATATTAAACAGTCCCTTGCATAGCCCTGCAGGGCCAGGCAGATGTTGGAAGCAAAGAGGGAGGTGGCACACCCCGCCCCCAACCCACACATTGCCCCCAAGAAAGGGGGGGGCATTACCTTGAGCTACTCATGTAACCACAGGGGATCCAAGCTGAAAACCGGGCTCCCCAAAGTCTATTTTAAAGTCTGAAAATGGAGTCAAGCCTCAGCTGATGTTCACTCGTTCAGTGAAGGGAAGAAAGGAAGGGCAGATGGATGCTCTTCCCACCAGAAATTGGCTCTGACAGGCGGGCGTTTCAAGGGGACCTAACTGGTGTTCTGATCCCAGTCTGTTAATAGTAGGAATTGCTGTAAGTAATGTCGAGACTCATCTGCTTGGGGGACTTTGGGATTTGCAGAGGGGAAAACAGAATTTAATTTTTAAAAAAGAACTATTTAATTTAAAGAACAAATTCTCCCATGGACTAATTGACTCCCAGCTGGTCCTTTCTGGATCCAGGACTGTACAGTGGGTACCAGCCAAATAATTAGTGTCTTGTAAGAACTGTAAATTACTGTCACTTTAAAAAAAAAAATCCCTGTCATCCCTACCCCCCCACTTGTATGCAAAGCCACAGAGGACTTCAGTGACGAGATTTGCATCTTGTCTTGCAGCCTACTTGGAGGAGATCCAGTCAGTCCGTCGATGTACAGTGGGTACCAGCCAAATAATTAGTGTCTTGTAAGAACTGTAAATTATTGTCACTTAAAAAAAAAAAAATCCCTGTCATCCCTCCCCCCCCACTTGTATGCAAAGCCACAGAGGACTTCAGTGACGAGATTTGCATCTTGTCTTGCAGCCTACTTGGAGGAGATCCAGTCAGTCCGTCGCCACACCAACAGCATGCTGGAAGGCACCAAGAACCTGCACCCACCGATTGTGGTCCACTGCAGCGCTGGGGTGGGCAGGACCGGCGTGGTCATTCTTTCCGAGCTGATGATCTACTGCCTGGAGCATAATGAAGTAAGTCTCTCTGGGCTTCGGAATCGTCCCCCTTGGGGGCCAGTCTACACCACGGCCACCCTTTCACCTGTGCCCTTCCATTTCCACTGCTTAGCTTCCTCTCTTGACGAGAGTTTTCCAGACCAGTGATTCCCACTTGGACTCTGACATTTACAAACTTCCTTATCTGTTTTCCCTTTCATTGCTCTGTATAGAGACCCAAATAATATAGAAGAAGAGTTGAAAGTGTAAGAAAGGAAACATTTAGAAAATCTGATCTTCACTGGCATCGACTTCCAAAAGTCTGCAGTGTTTTTTGTAGAAGGTCTGGTTTTATTGTGTGTAATTCTCCATGCTGGGTTATTCAGTCCATATAGCTTAGAGGAGTCTTAAGCGTTTCTGGGATGTATTTTGGCTTAACTCCTCCGTGAAAACATGCATACTTTAAAAACATGTTTCATTCTTCAGAGGGAGTTTCATTGAGGAGGCTGTTTGCTCTTGTCTAGCTTGGCAATGGTGTGTAGCAGAGTTGGGTGGATAACCTGAGACCTAGATGTGTCCAGCTCTTTTCCGCTAGATGCGGGCTGTGGCTATCCATATTTGTGCCCACATGGTGCGTGGCGTTCCCTTCTTGCTGTAGGTCAGAGAGTTACACTGAGGGACTTTTGATTTTGTGGAGATGAGAAAATAGCAATCAAAGGCTAAAGACCAGTTCATCTGCCTTCTATTCTCATGAGGCTGTAGGGGTTTTAAATGGCTTTCACTTTTTTTTTTTCTTAGTTGGATTCTTCATAGCAGCTTGTGTCAGTTTTCTGATTTTAGAGATGACGATACGAGGGCCAGAAACAATCGAATGACTTGCCCAGGGCCAGGTGGCTCTTAAGCAATGGTGCCAAGGTTTGAAATGAGGTCCTTCACTTCCTGGCCCTGAATTATTTCTTATCTTCACGCTGCCTCCAAACGCCGAGTGTCATTTGGTTCTTGTTCAATTTCCAAATTGTATAACTTGGTGAATCGAAGGAGACTTTTGAAATGGTAGTTTTAAAGTCAGCAGATGTTGTCATGCACGTTCTGTGAAGGAATTTATCCAACAATATATGTATTTGCTCAATAGCATCAGTGGTTTGAAAAATCAGATTAAATATTGCTCCATGAAATTTATTATATTGAAACTTCTAGGAAAACAGTCAGTGCCATATTTAAACATGTTTAAAGGATGTTTTAAGTTCCCTGCCTATAAAAAGTTAATTTTGGAAACTTTCAGCCTGTATGTATGAATGTTTGTGCTGCTAAAAAGTAGAAGAGGGGTTCTATCAATGTGGCCTGTTGTTCAAACAAACAAACATTCTGTTGGGGAACAAAATGCCCATCACAGAATCAGTTGAGTCTACATCACAGAAATCTCATCGTCTTCTGTGAGTCTATCCTTTTTTCTCATGAAAGATTTCCGGGTTGTTTGCTTCCCTGTCACTACTAGAAGTCTCTAGGAGTTTCTATTAGAGTAATGGCTTACCACTAAGTCCCAGACCCACTCAGCGCTGGGAAGGTGGATTGAGAGACAGTGGAAATGGAGTACGTGTGGCTGCAGCGTATCCCAGCGCCCCTGGTGGCACCAGTGGTTTCCTGGGGAGGAGAAAGGGCTTCATGGTCCCCTCTGGATCCACTTAGAGATCTTGTCCTCACATCAGTTTCTTTGACAAACTCCCCTTCTTTTCTCCATTCCCCACGTACCCTCCTGTGCTCCCCTTTCCTCCTTTTCAACTTGAGAAGCTATTTTCTCTGTCTTATCTGACATGAAGGATCGCTCTGTGCTGAGAGCTCTTTGGAGACCCATCAAAGACTGAGCCTCAGTAATGCAACGACATGAAGGCTCATTGATCACCAGATGTCATTGGTCCAGGGGAACATAAATAGCATGTGTCAGAACCAGCGTGGTGCAGAGAGAGGGATTTGGCCATGAGCACCCAGTGTGGACTTGGTAAAGGCTTGGGGTGACTAGACTCTCCACGGGGTTTATCCAGACATAGCGGATTTCCTCAATGCCCAGTTGCATGCCAGAACATTCTTTACTGGAACGCGCGATCAGTCCAAAAAGGACTTCTGTTCCCATTGATATTCCAAGATAGCAAGATGACTCATATTTTTCACTTCCCTTCCCCTAGCACAAATATAGTCAGCCTTATCAGTGCTGTTTCCCATAACTGCTATTGGTAGATGGCTAGGGAGAAAAAAGTTCTCTACTTGTTCTGCTTCAGGCCTGTCTAGTAAAATTCAAACCCTTATTTTAGGAGTGGGACCATGTTGCTTTGTTTTTTAAACAAAAGGTTTTGCTAAATCAGTATAAAATCGGGTGTCCCATTTTTCTCCTGTCGAAACTTTCCCATCTTCTTTGCCTGTCTTCTGGATCTCAGATACTTTATATTTTAGTCTGTAATCATAGAGTTTTAATTTTGTCAGTAAAATGCTTTTTATCGGAGCGAAGATCCTTACTGTGAAGTTGGGTAGCTGTGAGGTAGGAATGGGAGGGGATTCTCTGGGGCTGCCCTGAGAAGCTTCCATGGGTCCTATTGCTTTTGGTCACCGAGTGTCAGCTATAACATTTCAATGCCCACACATTTTTTTCCTCCAGAATGCACCGTTTTCATGGTTTGTGATACTCTCTCCTGCCTGCCTGTCCCAGATCAGCTAAATTACAAAAGGTCAGGTTCTCACTAGCCACATAGCAAGATGTCTTGATCTTGCTGCTTTTATGAATCAGTTACCCCCTCCTCCCCAGTTCATAGAGTAGGGGGAGAAAATGTCTCCTAAGCAAGGTGGAGAAAGCATCAATGGCCTCCTGATTGCTCGAGTTAGGGACAGTGGACAGCAGAGCCTGTGGGAGTGAATCTTCAAGGCAAGTTGAAGGATTTCATTGAGGACCAGGAGAAACCTTTGTCTTATCTCCAAACAGCCCCATTTCAGCTAGTACACCACCCTTGAGTGAGCCTCGGGGGCTGAGTCTTACAGGTTATGGAGATGGTAGTGATCGTGATGATAGTGGTGGTGGCAGAGGTGGAAATGGAAGTGATGGTGGAGGGAAGAAGGTGGTGTGGTGGTGGTGATGATAGAGGTAGGGAGGAGGTAGTGGTGAAATCGGAGGAGAAGGTAAAGGAGATGGTGGTGGGGGGGAGGTAATACAGATGCTGAAGAGGGCGGTGGAGATGATGAAGGGGGTGGTGGTGATGACGAGGAGAATGCAAATATTATAATAACCACAACTAACATGTGTTTAGCATTTACCATATGCCAACACTGGGACTGCCCTGGTGACTCAGCAGTCAAAAGTCTGCCTGCAATGCAGGAGACTTGGGTTCAATCCTTGGGTTGGTCAGATCCCTGGGAAGAGCATGGCAACCCACTCCAGCATTCTTACCTGGAGAATCTCATGGACAGAGGGAGCCTGGTGGGCTACAGTCCATGGGGTCCCAAAGAGTCTGACACAGCTGAAGCATCTGAGTTCTTGTGCGTGTACTAACACTGTTTCACAAGCCTTGCAGCTCATAGCCTTTACAGTGGCCTTACGACAGGTCCTACTAGTGCTTGCTGAGTCCTTGAGTCACGTCTAACTCTCTGTGACCCCACAGAGGGCATGGCAGCCCACTCCAGTGTTCTTGCCTGGTGGAGAATCCCTGTTAGAACCTGCATCTAACAAAGTGAAACTGAGGCACGGGGAGATGAACTCTTAGAGCCTATGTGACTCTGCCTCTCTCATCAGAGACTTTGATGGGCACAAGGCAGAAACAGTCTTATTCTACCCTTATATTTAGGGCCCACCACAGAGCAAGGCTCATCATGCATTATGTTAATTGTCTGTGATAGGTGCTCTGTGTTGTATATCATGTCAGTCAGCTTGGAATATAGTTTAGACACAGACCCACTAGTTACCGTCAGAAGCTTATGGTCTAGGCTCTGTATTTTGACTAATAGTTTGAGGATTCACGTGCCTTTTTCTCTTTCCTTCCTACCAGGGACTTGTCCCTTTTAAATCTGTGGTGCGTGTTACTTAACTCATTGCGGAGAAGCTCAACAAAATAGGACGGCATGTGTGGTATTGTAGCTACACAAAATTTGGAAATAGCCGAAATGACTTTTGACAGTAAAGGAAGAGAAGACATATATGACTGAGTTTTTATTATTCTGTTTTCGATGCTTACTCAGTCCTTGGTAATTTCCTGGGTGTGGTCGCTTCCCTGGACTAAGGGCTCCCAGAACAGGGGGACGTGTGCCAAGGGCATGATGGCACATGGACTCCACAGTGCTTCTACCCCAGCGGGTCCAGGAGGAGGGGAGTGGCAGTGGGAAACACACCAGGGCACCGGTGACCCCTCATCTTCATCCCTTCCCATTGGAGATACTCAAAGAATTTACATGTGGGCAATCTCATTTAACGCTCAAGATAACGCTCAGTTAAAGGCCATCACTCCAAACATGACTAGTGTCCAGAGACTGTGCTTTGACATTTTAAAGGTTTACATATAAATTATCTCACATGGTTATACCCGAGGTCCTGCGAGATAGCAGGATGGGCACGGGTGTTCTTATTTCACTAATACTGAGACACTGAATATAGTCTTTATCGAGAGCTCTTGTGTGCCAGACACTGTGCTAAATGCTTTACATGCATTTTTTGATCCTGTAAGGTAGGAATGGTTTATCACCCCGTGTTATTGCCGAGGAGCCATCACTGACTTGGCCAAGGCTACATGGCATTAAAGGAAAGCATCGGTATCCTGACATCACAGAGGAAGAAATGAAGACCCATAACCGACTTAAATCCTACCACTGAGCCATGGTAGCCCTGAGAGGAACAATTTGGGATTAACTCCAGCTTCGTTGTCTTCTCTAACAGACTGATCTGTATTTAAAATGTCACACCAGTGGTGCGGGACAACCAGCTTCTCCAGCTGTAGGCATGGTCTTGGACGGGGGTAACCGAGAGGGGGCTGTCTTTGGCTTCCTCCCGTACCTGTCCAGGGGCCGCGAGCAAATACATTCCTCATTCCAGGTAAGGGAATGAGAAATGACCCAAGGGGAGCACCCCCACCATCTCAGCATCTTTTCTTTTCTTGCAGAAGGTGGAAGTACCGATGATGCTGAGGCTCCTCAGGGAGCAAAGAATGTTTATGATCCAGACCATCGCTCAGTACAAGTTTGTCTACCAGGTCCTCATCCAGTTTCTCCAAAACTCCAGACTCATTTAACCCCCGCATCCCCGACGTCAGTTCCCGGAAGAGGGACCCAGCTCCATCTCATGGATGGGGAAACACCTCCAGACAACATCTGTTTCCCAGCAGGGCGCAGATGGCCGGAGCAGGCAGGCCACGGACTCCCTGAAGGCGGGAGCCAAGATCACTCACAAACATCGTGTACTATTTTATATGAGATAATTTATTTTTTCCTCCTTTGGGATAACTTTTGTGAATCATCCTAAGGCAGTTTTCACAATAATATAGTCCTTTTCATTTGAACCACATTTTGACTGATCTGCAGTGTAAATAGGGCCGTAGGGGGAGGGAGGGTTGCCTGGTGCATCCTTGGGGGTCAGAGGCAGAAGGGAACACATCTCTAGTGAAGTTGAAGCCAGATTTGTGACCAACTCTGAAATTCATCAGCCTAATTGCTCATATCCAAATCAAAGATGGCAAGAAGATGAGTGCATCCTGAAATATAAAGCGCTAAGACCCTTTTTCTGAAAGGGGAAAACAACACTCTTCTCTTATATTGGGGGTTCCTGCAGCTTGATGGGGGCTTCCTAGGTGGCTCTAGTGGTAAAGAACCCACCTGCCAGTGCCGGAGACATAAGAGACACACAGGTTTGATCCCTGGGTGGGGAAGATCCCCTGGAGGAGGGCATGACAGCCCACTCCAGTATTCTTGCCTGGAGAATCTCATGGGCAGAGGAGCCTGGTGGGCTACAGTCCATGGGGTCACAAAGAGACAGACATGGCTGAGTGACCAAACTACAACAACCTTGGTTCACTGGTCACCGTCCTGAACTTCATAGGTTAGTACACAATAAAGCATGTTCCGGAAGCTTTCCCTCTTGCTGATTTTGGGGAATTCTCTCTGTCATCTGCCTTTTCTTGGTACAACTTTTCAGTTGTGGCTTTGTTCTTAAGATTGACCTTTGTGGGTATTCCATGATGTGTTCCTCCTCTGCTAACTTTCCCGCCCCCCGCCCCCCCATCCTGAGCTGTAAATACAAGGAAAGAATGGCATCCAACCCACCAGAAGGAGTGCGCCTTTGTGATTTCCAGTCACCACACAACAGACGGGTGTGGAAGCTGATTCCCGATGGGCTTCTTTGGCATGTGAATCAACTCGGTTTCACACCTGGCCAGACTCAGTTTCACACCTGAGTCTGTATTTGGACTCAAAAGAACCGGCAAAGGCCGGGCCCCTCCCCTCCCCCCCAAAGAACGAAGAATCGGTCAGGAGTAGAGCTTCTACTGAGCCCCCTAGGGTCTGGAATTTTGCTGAATGATCTGAAAAAGGAAAACCACTAGGATGACATGTATTTTCAGTAGATCAGAGCTCATAACTCTTGCAAGGAGATGCTCAGAACATGGATCATCAGCAGGCAGAGAGGTACTTGTTTCCTTTTCCTTAGAGACTTTCCATCCTTGGGATACTCTGCCATTAGGGATGTTTTAACAGTTGATCTGCAGTTACTGGCTTATCCTTTGATGAACCACATCGGCATTCCTCTTTCCTCTCTCAGCGCCCCGCATGGCCACTGTTGATGTCTCATGTGGGCAGCGAGTAGATGTGCAGTCTCCTTGAGCCCGTCACTCTTGGCCCTTGTTTCAGCTCACTCACTGTTGCCGCTTGGAACTGAGGGAATATTCATGAATTCACAAAATGTAGAGAAGTAGGTTCGGTATCCAACTTCCTAGCCAGAGTTTACATTGAAACCCAAAGGAAAACATTTAAAAGTGGTTCCCCGTATTTTGTTTTTAAAAACAAATGTTTTTGGTCCTTGAGCCCATTTTGCATTCCTTTGCACATCTCCAGTAAATGCCAACCTATGAGAACGGTAAGGTCAGGGCAGGTGAAAACATCTCCACGTGGACTATTTTGAGTAATAAACTTTGGAGAACCCTCAACAGAGAGAACTTGACTTCTACAACATTTGTGGTCCTAGATTGAGAAGCACGACTATCTGTTGACTGCGGTTAGTCAGTCATTTGCCTCCAAGTCCCTTGGTCCTCTGGCACCTTCCTCCATCAGCCTGGATAGAAGGTCCTCGTGGGCTCTGCTGGGTGAGGTCCCGTGGGACTTGTCTGTCGGCTGCCCAGGACACATTTAACCTTTGTCTTGCCCACACTCGGCTCTTTCTATAAACACTGGTGGGTACAGTAAGTCGGCACTCTGATCCAGCTACCGACCTTTCTTCTCCTTTTCCAGGTTGATGCATATGAAATTTCCAGTATTTGGATCATTTTTTTTTAAATTTACAATGACAGCAAATTCACTTGGATCGACCTAATATGTACAGTTTGTTTCTGCCCCTTGATTAGTGTGGATCCCAACGCGCCATGTGTCTTTTCTCAAGAGCTAATGAACATGAAAGTGTGTGCCTTGGGTTCTTTCCGTGAACCTGTGGCCTTGCTGCAGTGAGCTTCACCTCACTTGGTGAGTGGGCTGTCTCCTGGGGCTTGGAGTCACACTTGGCAGAGATGTCAGGATTCTCATAAGCAGGGCTGGCCATCAGGCACATGATTGGGGGTTTTCAGCTGTTGTTCTTTCTTGATGTATAGTCCGTATTAACTGGCCTCAGCCCAGTGGTTATGGAACATAATCTGTGGGCCCAAAGGTGTCCAGAGTGACAAAGCAAAATGTGCTTTCAAGTCTCTTCCCCATTTCCAATCATGTGTATAATGGAGAAGGTGGGTAGAGTTATTGATTTTTCAGGGAGGAAGGAATCTGTCAATCAGTTGAGGTCAAGAGGTAGACAAGCACAGGGACCTTCTAATATGTTTGCCAAGGAGCTTAGACTCAAGGAATGGGGATTGAGTCACAGGCATATCAGTGTTAATCTACCCTTCATTCCACTTTCATGTTGGGAATAACTGGCAGCATCTAGACTAAGAAACTTCCAGAAGCACCAAGTAATTCCTGTTGGGCTGTTAAGGAGATATAATTCAGCTCTTTGTGGGAATTCAGTTTCCTCATGTTTTACCAAAGATTCTTCTGCAACTGTGTTTTGTTTTATGGCCTATGGATTTTATCAGATGTTTACCATGCTCTTATTTAGTTATTTCTTTTTGTGAGCAAAGTAACAGTTCATCAACACTACTTTCTAATGGAGAAATTTGGAGTTTTCATGGAGACTGCACAAAATTTCCATTGGTCTAGAACTGCATGGGTGATAAACTAGCTGGCCCCATAGGGTTGAAATAGTCCTAGTTGGCCCTACAGGGTGGAAATCTCTAGGACATTAAGATTATGTTTGACACTTCTGAGCTCTGAGCAAGGTAGCAGAGTGGTCCTTCTCTTTGCCTCAGCTTCTAAGACATTTGGGGACAGAAGACCTTACTGTTGAAAGGAACAGCAACATTCCTAGGAGAGATGGGCAGGTGTATTTAGTCAAATTCTGCCAACTCATACATGTTACCCTGAAAAATCACTGTTCTTCATAGGATCCTGAGAAACTTGATGACCTGCTTGCCCAATACTCAACCTTTATCCTGCCTGCTCTGAGCTTTTGCATTTCCATTAGAAACTCAGATGGTGGGTGTTTTTACCTGCTCACTACCTTCCTTGTTTTTTCCAGCTTATTATAGCTGCATCTTCTTTCTCAAAATAGGGTTGAAATAGTCCTAGTTGGCCCTACAGGGTGGAAATCTCTAGGACATTAAGATTATGTTTGACACTTCTGAGCTCTGAGCAAGGTAGCAGAGTGGTCCTTCTCTTTGCCTCAGCTTCTAAGACATTTGGGGACAGAAGACCTTACTGTGGAAAGGAACAGCAACATTCCTAGGAGAGATGGGCAGGTGTATTCAGTCAAATTCTGCCAACTCATACATGTTACCCTGAAAAATCACTGTTCTTCATAGGATCCTGAGAAACTTGATGACCTGCTTGCCCAATACTCAACCTTTATCCTGCCTGCTCTGAGCTTTTGCATTTCCATTAGAAACTCAGATGGTGGGTGTTTTTACCTGCTCACTACCTTCCTTGTTTTTTCCAGCTTATTATAGCTGCATCTTCTTTCTCAAGGCCAAACTAAAAAGTTCTCTATTAAAACATCCATGAGGCTTGCATTGAATATCTGGCATCCAATCGATGTCACCAGACTGCATAATTTATTGTTGTTTGGTGCTGTAAAAGGGAGGATGTGCATCAGTTCCTATTCAGCTTTGGTCAGCCTTCCCATTTAAAAAATAAATTCAAGGGCGTTTTAAGACAGGACGGCATGAGCTGATGGGCAAGCCTGACTATGATGAGCATCTGTCTAGAAAGTCTGTGTTCCCTCTGCCATGTTTTGGGCCATTAAGACCATTCTTGCCCCAAAACACCAGGAGCTTGCCCAGAGAAGAGCTGTAAATGGGGGGAGGAAGAGGAAGGCTTTTTAGATCAGCTTTGTAGTTGCTATCAAAACGTTCTTGACTCACAAAGAAATTTTTGGATTCAGGGGTGTCTCGCCTACTCTATCCTTCTCTGCGAGGTCAGAGGGATGGCATGAGGTGGCACTCCTAGGCAAGACCTCGCTGCAGTAGGAAGATTGGTTTCACCCTTGCTGGTCGTTTTAAACTGTGTCCTTGCTGTTGTGGGAGAGATTGACGAACATTCTGGATGCTGATACCTGCCTCGACCCACTGCTCAGCAAGACCCTTCCCCTTGCTTGCTAGGGGCCCTGCCTTTGCTGGCAGCCTTTTCTGCAGAACATTTTGCTTATCCACACGGCTCCAGAGTGAGCCATCACAGCTCCTGGGCATCTTGACTGAGTCTCTCCTGGGGGCCCCGGGTGGCTGCAGAGTGGAGCACCCCCTTTCTAGCATGTCGTGTTTGTAATCAGGGCATGAGAACCAGGAAGATGTCCATACGTGATGGCGGTTCCCCGTCTCACTTGAGAGCACAGGTGGGAATACTTTTCTGATGTCACTCCTTTCTAAGAGCACCCCGCGTGCGCTTAGGACGGTGCCAACCTTTCCTTTTTGATTTGCTTTTATGGAGCAGCTCTCGATAGCAACACCTTTTCCTTCCTTACCCTCCTAGTGCAACCCTTACACAACAGTTGAATCTAGTCACAGGGACTCACTCTTTAAAATCGCTCCAAATTATAAAATTAGAGAATCTAATTCTTAACATGCTTCTATAGTTTCAAAAAGTAAAATCTGGCATTTGCGTGGTTTCAAGGAATAGAATCGGGCAAGTGGAAGCAACCAGAATGAAAATAGCCAGGTGCTGTCAGCAACCAGGAAGTCGACCTTCCACCCGCTCTTTCCCCTTGGTGATCGACACTATCGTTCAGGACTAGAAGAGATGAAAGAAAAGCTGGATTCGATGATCAGTCCTGTTTGAACAAAGATTGCAGCAGTCTCTCAGGCTTATTTTGAGGTGACCTTCTATGGATCCCCAGTGGCTGCCTTTGGCATAATGACATGTGTGGTCAGATCGTCTCCAGCCCCTTCCTGCAGACCGTGTTCCTTTCATCGTGGCCTCTACACAGCCTGGCCGGTCAGGTGAAATGGGTGAAGCTCTGGGCTCTTTGCGGACTTTTTACAAGCTGCAAAGCTGTCTAGGGAGGGGCAGGATTGCTACTCATCCAGTCTGTGATGGGACCTTTCTTCCCAACCTCCTCCTC